TAGGACCAAGATCAAAAGCACACTGGAAGGAGGAAGCCTCTTCCTCCTGCAGTATCACCCCCAGGCCCTCTATTGACAAAACTTAATATTGTGCCCACTAGCAAGGGAGAAATGCTTAAAAGGTCCAGCGCCACAATAGCAGAGCAAGCAATAAATGGTGTATTTGGAACTGAAAGGTAATAAGTTAGTAACAGGCACAATGTGCATTTAGATTTTTTTCCCAACTTTTTATCACCATAAACAATGCTGTGATTGTCATAAACAAAATTTCTTGGACACATTTCTCTTGCACGTTGCCAATTTTTTACTTAGCAGAGAAGCAGCAAAATGACCAAAAAAAAGTATGCCAGTTCAGACAGAGCATGAAAATTGAGAGGCGATATAAAATCCTTAGAAAAAAGAACTAGTTTAAGAAAAGAAAGATTGCAGTTTAATTTCACAAGGTCAAAGGACATTTGTGGAAGGATGGCCTGAGATGCAGCATATGCTGTCAGTCAATGAATAACAATATAAGCTCCACACATCTAAAGAGTAAATGATACTGTCTTGTTTTTTTGGTTTGTTTTTTTTGGGGGCCGCGCTGCACATAGCCTGTGGGACCTTAGTTTTCCGACCAGGGATTGAACCTGGGCCATGGTGGTGAAAGCAGTGAGTCCCAACCACTGGACCGCCAGGGAATTCCCAATACTGTCTTCTGATGAACAAAATTTCTAAATTTTCATGAGGTCCAATCTGTCTATTTTTTTCTTTTGTTGCCTATGTCTTTGGTGTCATATCCAAGAAATCACTGCCAAATCCAATGTCATAACGCTTTTGTCCTACATTTTTTTCTAAGAGTTTTATTGTTTTAGGGCTTACATTTAGGTCTTTGATCCATTTTGAGTTAATATTTGTATATGGTATTAGATAAGGATCTAACTTCATTGTTGCATATGGATATTCAGTTTTCCCAACACCATTTGCTGAGAAGACTGTCCTTTTCCCACTGAATGGTCTTGGCACTTTTGTCAAAAATAATTGACCATATATGTGAGGGTCTGTTTCTGGACTCTCTACTCCACTGGTGACATACTTAGAGTAGTCAAAATCACAAAGGCAGAAAGCAGAATGGTGCTTGCCAGGGGCTGGAGGGAGGGAAGAATGGGAAGTTATTGTTTAAAGGGTACAGAGTTTGTTTTACAAGATGAAAAGAATTATGGGGACAGACGGTAGTGATGGCTGTAAAACATTATGAATGTAATTAATACCACTGAACTGGATACTTAAAAATGGTTAAGATGGTAAATTGTACATTATGTGTATTTTACAATTAAAACTTTTTTTAAAGAAGTAAATGATAAGGATACATTTGTCTGATATTCAGAATACCAAGGTTTATATCCCTAAACAATGTATCTGATAGGACCCATAAGTATGAAAGCAAAGAGTGTAAACAGAGATCAGAAGCAGAGGACCAAGAAAAACCATTCTTGTGTTTTTTCTCAAACTATAAACAAAGGAGCAGAATATACACTTTTCCCATTTCTTAGCCTGGGGACTTTTTTCCTCTTTTAATATAATTAACATCTTTGTATAATACATACATCCTGGGTACTTTTATTTCTCTAAGACAAATTCCCAAAAGTGGGGTTAAAACTGGTATGTATATTTAATTTTGTAACCTTTTCTCCCCAGAACATTGTCAGTAATACGTCTTATTCAACAGGATCTCAGAAACAAGGAAATAGGAAATACTTCACGAAACCTCAGTTTGCTCAACAGTAAAAGTGAGATAATAATTGATAATAATTCCATCTAGGGTTTTGTGAAGATTAACTGCAATGAAGTGCATAAAACTCTTAGCAATATACCTTCCACATGGGAATTGATAGCTACACACATGCATGTGTGTGCACGCACACGCACACACACACACACACACACAAATAGGCGTAGAGTGTTCCTAGTGCCTATAATTCATCCATAGTTATTAAACCAGAAGAGAATTGGTGGTTTGGATGGAAGGCCTCTTCCATAAAAGGTTCTTTCATAAAAGATGGAAGAACCTTGTTCAGGCCTTACTTCTAACTTGATAGCTTTTCCTTGATTAATGGATTTCTGATAGGATCTGTTAAATCTTAGAATCTCTGGAAGTTTCAAAGTTTCTGAGGTGTGTTAGATCTGGCTGAGGCGCTCTTAACAAGCCTCTTATCCTTCAACCGTCTCACCTCCTACCTCGTCTCCCAGCTTCCACTCTCCACTCCCCACCCCCCACCCCAAGTCTCTTCACAACTCATCTGTCAGACTTATTCTTTTTCAACTCAGTCAGATCGTGTCACTCCTCTGTTCAAAACCCTCCAGTGGCTTCCTCTCTCTCAGAGCAAAAGCCTAAGAAAGAAAAAAGCAGCCCCTGACATCTGGGAACCGGACTGACCTAGCTAGGTCTCAGTGTTGCTACAAGCTGACCTGGCCCTCACAGCCAGGCTCCTGTTGTCTCCTGTTGGATATAAACCATCTCAGAACACTGACATCAGACAGAGTCACTCAGACCATGATAAAATGAAACCATACAAGGCCTCGTCATAATTTCTTCTAAGCAGAGACAAAAACAAGGTCACTGTGCAACCCAGGAAATACCCAAACATCCTCTTCTCTCTGCTAATGCGACTACTGGTTCTCTACAATTTACAGCCTTAACCTTGCTCTAGTTTACCCATCTGAGAGATAATGTATATTGAGATACCCAATCATAGAATTGTCCCTGCCTTCTGATAGCACCCAATCCAAAGTAAAGCTTTGATTCCTTAAGCCCTCTCCCAAATCACGCAGAGCCCAAATCCTATAATAGGTTCTTTCCACACTCTTACTGAGCTGTCCCGGTGGTTCTCCACAGTATCTGCTCCCTCACGGGAAGGGGTAATCAACCTAACTTTAAGTATGGGTGTGTTCCTGATGGTCTCTGGTGGGAGGGCATTGACAAGCCAGAGTCACAGTTGTCCACAAAGTTCTTATAGTGGTTAGAATCACCCAGGCTTGTTAAAACAGATTGCTTGACCTGATCCCGAGTTTCTGATTCTGTTAAGTCTGGGGTGAGGCCTTAGAATCCGTATTTCTAACAAGTTCCAGGTGATGCTGAGGCTGCAGGTCTGAGGACCACACAGGAAGAATCACTGTCCTAAACCATCTGTGGCTCCCCCTTTTTTCTCTGACGTAGCCTACTCCTGCTTCCTCACCTCTTCTTTGGACTCCAGCCACACTGGCCTCCCTGCAGTTTTGACTCTCCCCAAGCACATGTCTGTCTTAGGGCTCTGGATGCCCTCTAATATGGAATGCTTACTTTCTCACCTCTCAGGGAGACCTACCCTCACTTCCTTAATCTGCCTTTTAAAAATTATTCCCCACAACACTTAATCAGTTCTTACATACCGTCTAATTTACTTACTATTTTTATTGTTTTGCTCTCCGCCTACTAATAAAAGAATGACAGCCTTAGGACTGCTGATACTTTTGTCTATTTTGTTTACTGCAGTAACCTCAGACCTAGAAAAATATTGCAGGGGAGCAAAATTTGCCACCCTAAAATGTGTCTCTTTGGCAGGAGGGTTAACTTATGATGCCCATTTTTAAGGCCCCAAAGACTTCCCCCTAACTGCCTAAAAGGATTTAGAGAGAAGGCCCGTTCCCCTAATTAAGGTGTCACCAGAGATATCTGCAAAGAATATGGGCTAAATGTGGTGGCAGGAACTCTGTAGAGCCTAGAAATCAGTCTCCTAGTCTCTGCAAGGGCCGGCAAACATTTGTTTACCAAGTATTTACTTTCTCCACGTGAACTGCCTTTCTCCCCTTTGAAGTCGCAAACCACAACCCCCAACATCCTCTTTTGCCATAGCTGAAGATGGTATTTAAGGTGAGGGCTTCGGCCATTAAGGCGAGTCACTCAGTTCTCCTGGGTCTCTCCCAGGTATACGTGCTATTAACTTTTGTTTGATTTTCTCCTATTATTCTGTCTGGTGTCAGTTTACTTCTTAGACCAGCCAGAAGAAGCAAGAAGAATAGAGGAAAATTTCTTCCTCCCCGACAATATCTAGCAAGTAGCCAATGCTCAACAAAAGTTTGTTGAATAAATAAGTGCTCCTTCCAGTCTTTCACTTTCTTCTCCCAAAAGAATCACAGCATTCCTACCTTTGGCTCTTCCTATAAATACAATCACCTTCCTGCCCACCCAACCTCTTGACAGTTACAATAGCCAGCTCCCAGGACTTTTTAGGCCCACTGGCTCAAACCGGGGATGCAAAGCAGGTAAGTAACTCATTCAAGGAAACCAAACAAGGCCCGCAAATTGCATCTCTTCGCCTTACTTCTCCAGATGACCTTAACCACCAATCTACCTTTTTTGTCTTCAAACTCTGTTACATGACTTTTTCCTCTCTCGGCCACCAACGCTGTTATGTTCTGCCCCGCCCCGCCAAAGGCACAACACCCTCACTCGGCTGTCTTATCTCCCAGTTCTGACAATTCTCCTCCTGCGTCCGTTTTCCTTTCTAGACCCCCCGAAATTTCTCTTTTGAAGCTCCATTACCTCTTCCTTCCTAAATCCAACCACAATTTGGGGTCTTTCTTGATCTTTCTCGATACTCTACTGAATTTATCACATCCTTCTCGAAACTCTCTCCCAGAACAGCGCCAATATCTTCTACCTCCTTTACTGCTTCTCCTCGGGTCCTTCCTATTCCTGTCTTCACCGATGTCCCCAAGTTTCCCTCCAGCAAGCTGGGTCGTGGTTTCCTTGGCGCTCACGCGTTCCTGAACGCGCTCAGGGTTCGCGGAGGAGCTGTGGTGAGACTCGGGGCGGAGCCTCGCTGAGCCTAGGGCGTTGGACACCGGTGGACTTCCGAGGCTGGGAAGGGGCGGGGCCTTGGACCGCTCGGGAAGTTTGGTCCTCGGCAGCCCCCGTCCAGGACAGTGCGGAAGGAGATTCCGGGGCTGGGGTCTCAGAGCCGGACTCGCGGTCCTGGCTGGAGATGGAGTTCAACAGTGAGGGTGTGAGGCGACTACTTGGCAAGGTGCGGCCAGCCCGCCGGGCAGGGTCTGGGGCGCCGGGGCTTGGGGGTGTTTCCACCCCTGGCCGGGCCACCTCCTTGGGGCGTTTCCCCGGCTTGTCAAGGGGCTTGGAGCGGGGGGTGGGCTGGCCTGAAGCCGGCTGCGGGGAGTGGCCGCAGGGAGGGCGCGGACCTCTCCTTCCCGAGGCCGGGGCTCTGGCTTCGCCTGCAAATCCGAGATCCCCCAACCTCCACCCGCTGTGAGACCTCCTCACGCCACCAGCTTCTCTTGGTCTCAGCTTCCAGCCCTCGCCAGTCCCTTTAACCACGCCTTTCTCTCTGCAGAAATGGCCTGCCCTCACCGCCACCCCCTTTTTTTATGACTTGCGTCGCTAATCCTTTGTAGGACTCAACTCAGATGTCACTCCCTAGAAACAGAATCACTACCTCCTTTACTTGCTTTCAGAAATATCGATTATCACATCGTGGAGTAATTATTTACATACAAATCTTACTCGGGCGGTGAACTCTGATGGCAGAGAGATTGCTGTAGTGTTCCCATCACCTAGCCTGACACGACGGAGTGCTGAGTAACTGTGCAGTGAATGAAAGACCTGTGTAGACTTAAGAATGAAGACAGGGTTGGAAGGCCCGGAAGAGATCCTCGTAATGTTGAAAGGTTGAGGTGGAGGGCTGACCCGGAAGTCTGACCTGCGTTTCTCAGGCATGACTAACGCCAGTTTCTGTGTTACACCAGGCTCTTAGTTCAGGCTCTCTGATTCCCCACCAGTGTACAGTCTGAGGCAACCACCTTTTTCACCAGTTTCTTAGTTATATGATTCATAATGCTTCTTAAAATTTCCCTATGCGGAAACGGTACGTTTATGCCGTTTTTTTGTTTTGTTTAAAATTTTATTGAAGCATGAGACATGATACATTCTGAATAAAACAGTAGCAAAATGTAATGGCAGCAGTTAAATATGAATCATATACATGCACATACTTTTCTGGTTCTTTTGATTACATTTTCCTTTCAAGATAGACTGCTCTCTCTTTAGTTGGGTTTGCCTGTGTCTTTCTTTGTTGGGGCAGTTTGTACACCCCTTCGAGGTTTTGAAGCCTTATGATTGAAATTGTTTATATACTTGATTTGAATGATTTTATCTACTGTGACAGGTGTGTAGGTCTTGTAGGAAGAAAATTATCATCGTCCTTAGGATTACACCCTTTCTGTCTCCTCTTCAGAGAACATGAAATTAAAAAAACCACTCTATCAAGTTTTTCAGTGACGGAAGCATGGTGTATTGTCCAGGGGGAAGAATTGGTAAAGCTGAGAATAGAAAAAGAACTTCATAATTTTGGTGGAACTGGAATGCAGGAAAAAGACAAAAGAGAGACAATAATTTTCTCAAGGGTGGGACCAGAATAGTTGAGGAAGGTTTTTGTTTTTGTTTTTTATCATCAGTTCATAGCATGGAGTCTGGCACTTAGGTGCTTAATAAATGTCTGTTGGATGTGTAAATTAAGGAGACCATTTAGAAACACGTTAGTCCAGCAGATATTTCCAAAGTTCCTTAACCCTCAAGGTAGGGTTACTATAATAACTTAATACTTAGAAATAATTTTACTGCTGAAAAATTTGTGAACAATCCATTAAAATCAAGCAACTGTAAGGAGAACATGAAAAATCTTATTGAAAACAAATGAAACCTAATAAGTATTCCAACCTAGATAAATATTCCAGCTTCGTGGATGTGAAGATGTCAGCTCTCTCCAGATTGATCTATAGAGCCAATGCAATTCCAATCAAAATTTTAACAGGATATTTGGGGAACTTTTCAGACTGATTCTATAATCATTTGGAAGGGCAGAAGGCCAGGAATAATCTTGACATTTTTACAGAAGAAGAATAGGTGTGGGACTTGCTCTACCAGATGTCAAGACTAGTAATTGAGGCTTAGTGTGATGTTGGTATAGGACAGACAACCAGTGGAACAGACTTAGAGGCTTAGAACCATGTTCACACGTGTTTGGAAATGCGATATAAAACAGAAGAGGCATTGCAGATAACTACAGAAAGGAGAATGCAGAGACAAATGATTATCTATACAGGAGAAAATGAAATTGGACCCTTACCTCTGACCAAACATAAAAATTCCCTGTGGACTGAAGATTTAAGTGTAAAAGACGAGCTTTAAAACGTATAGAGATAAATGTAGGAAAGAATCTTCATGGACTCAGAGTATGCAAACATTTTTTAAACAAGATGTAAAATACTCAAAGAAGAGTGATAAATTTGATTGCATTCAAATTAAGAACTTTTATGTATAAAAAGACACCACGAAGAGAGTGAAGAGGCAAAATACAAACTTGGAGAATAATATTGTAACGCATAATTGACAAAGTATTGGTATCCAGAATATATAAATTAGCCTACAAATCAATATTAAAACCAATAGAAAATTGGACAAAAGACACGAATAATCATTCTTTAAAAAACAAAAGAAGAATCAGGGAAATGAATGTTTGCTCAACCCATTAGTAACCATGGAAAAGCAAATTGAGAGCATGGTAAAACACCATTTTCTCTCACTAGATTGTCATAAATTAAGATCATTTCAAAGGGTTTGGAGGATGTGGATGAATGGGAATTTTAGACTCTGTGGTAGTTACCATAGAGAATTCATAATATATGAAGCAAGAGACATTCACAGAATTACTCATCATTAAAAATTAGAAACAACCCAAATGTTCATTGACAGAAGGAAGGATAATTTGTTTTGTACTCATTCACACAATGGAAAACACTATGCAGCAGTGAAAATGAATGAACTACAACATGCAAGAATACAAGTGAATCTTAGAAACATTATATTCAGTGAAAAAAATTGGAGGTTATATGCAAGATTATATTTTGATTAAAACAAGAAACAGCTAAACAACAAACAGTGTGGTGTTTAGGGACGCACACAGATACGATAAAAACTATGGAGGGCAAAAGCAAAGGAGTGTGACCACACAATTTAAGGTAGGCAGCTGAATGGTTAAGAGAAGGAGCACCCAGACAGGTGTAATGGAATTGGAAAGGTCTGTGCTGTCCAGTATGGTAGCCACTAGCCACATGTGGCTCTTTAAATTCATCAAAATGAGATAAAATTAAAAATGAGTTTCTTGGTCACACCAGCCACATATTAAGTGTCAGTAGCCACATGTGGCTTGTGGCTACTGTATTGGACAGAACACATAATGATCTTTTCCATCATGGCAGAAAGTTTTGTTGGACAGCATTGTTCTAGATCAAACATGGGTGAGTTGGTGCCTGAGTGTTTATTCTTCAAAATGTATATATATGTACATATATGTTTATATGTATATATATTCTTTTTTTTCTTTTTTTTGCAGTACACGGGCCTCCCACTGCTGTGGCCTCTCCTGTTGCGGAGCACAGGCTCCGGATGCGCAGGCTCAGCGGCCATGGCTCACGGGCCTAGCCGCTCCGCGGCATGTGGGATCTTCCCGGACCGGGGCACGAACCCGTGTCCTCTGCATCGGCAGGTGGACTCTCAACCACTGCACCACCAGGGAAGCCCTGTATATATATTCTTTAGTTGTATTAACTATTAAGTTTAGAAAACTTCTCTGGTTCCCTAATTCCTATTTCCCACTCCCCTGGCCAAGTTACCTTGGACAGGTAACTTAACCTCGATTTGCTCAGTTATGAAATAATAGGATTGGATTTGATCTGTAAGATTCCTTAATGCTTAATTTTTTTTTTAATAAAATGATGCCACAAAGTATTCCTCAGGGTGTCCAACATTTGAGCAATGTCATACAGGAGTACTCTTGATGTTCGTAAGTATCAGTCTACTAAATAAACATACGGTAGTATAGTGGATAAAGTTAAAATTTTAGTAACTTCTCAATTTTTCAACTGATTTTTATGATAGTATAATTGCTTTAGTTTTAGAATCTCATGGGCCAGTTTTCCTCTTTAGTTCCCTGCCTGTACCCTTTAAGCAAATGGCATTGTCTGAGGCATATTCCTTGGAGAATGTTATACAAGCTTCTCTTAGGTGGTATAGGAACAGTAATGGAATATATGCCTTAATATCACACTAAGAAGATATTCTGTTTCATATATAGTGAAAATGATGTGCTTTTTATTTTTCTAGGACAGATAAAATAGGTCTTTTTCGTCAGAAAGGCAAATCACATATTCGACTAGTAGTGATGTTTGGATTTTCAAGCCCTAACAAAGAGTGCTTTTGCCCTCTTTTGACACACTTTTACGTCAGTTTTGCAGTTAGATCAGTTCTGGTATATAGCCCTATGCAGCCATTAATCATTACATTCTCAGAGGATGTTAAGGATGTAGAAAACAGCTTATAACATCAAATAGAAAACAAAACAAAAATTATTTGGTTCATAATAAATATATATTCCAGGTGACAACAATGCAGCCTTTTGTACATTTGTGTAGTGTCTGGAGTTGGGATGGTTTCATTCACTTTTGTTTTCACTGAATCAGGGACACTGAATCTGGGACTCATTTTTACCCTGCTGTAGTTAATACTGATCGATTCTTAGTTTTAGTGATCTTAGTGATCGATGCTCAGTCCTTTGGATCATAATTGCTTTCTATATCCACTCTACTCATATAAATCTGCCTCTTTGCTAACTCCCATCCAATTAGCCTACATTTATTGAAGCCATACCCTGTGCTAAATGCTATGGGGAAATGAGTCAGAGATGTTTCCAGTCCTCAAGTTGTTAATTATACACTTTTTCTTCGGCCAAATTCTTTCCTATCTTAAAATGACCTTCCTCCTTCCCTCTAATTTTCTGTACCGTTCTAGGCTCTAATGTGAATTGTAGACAGCTCTTTTCAGAGGCCTTTCTGTAACCTAGGTATGCTTTGTCAATTCATCGTTTCCTGTCGGTACTTACTATTGTATACATATTTTGTTTAATATCTCACTTTTACATATGTTAATCATGAGATCTTCATACATACCTGCTGAAGTTGGTGGGCAGTAGAGCTATATCTCTTTTGCCCATGAAAAACTTAAGACTCAGAGAGAGGAAATAGGGTCTCTTAGCAGTTATTTTATTTTCTCCCAGTGTCCTCCAACCCTAGGCACCCACTAAGCTACTTTCCGTTTCTATGGATTTGCCTATTTGGGGTACTTTATATACAAGTCATACAATATGTGGCTTTTTGTGTCTGTTTTCTTTAACTTAGTGTAATGTTTTCAAGGTTTATCCATGTATGTATCAGTTCTTCATTTTTATGGCTGAATATTCCATTTTATGGATATGTCACACTTTATTCATCAGTTGATGGACATTTGGATTGTTTTCACTTTTTGATTGTTATGAATAATGCTGCTATGAACAATTGTGCACAAGTTTTTGTGTGGACATGTTTTCATTGTTCTTGGGTATATACCTCAGAGTGGAATTGTTGGGTCATATGGTAACTCTGTGTTTAATCTTTTGAAGAACTGCCAAACTCTTCCAAAGCAGCTGCACCATTTTACCACCAGCAGTGGTGTATGTATATGAGGGTTCTGATTTCTCCACATCCTTTCCCACATTTGTTACTGTCTTTTTGATTATAGTATGAATCCTCCGACTTCTTTTTTTTTTTTTTTTTAATTGTTTTTGGCTGCATTGTGTCTTTGTTGCTGCACTCAGGCTTCCTCTAGTTGCGGCGAGCGGGGGCTACTCTTTGTTGCAGTGCGAGGGCTTCTCTTGTTTCAGAGCACGGACTCTAGGCGCGCTGGCTTCAGTAGTTGTAGCATGTGGACTAAGTAGTTGTGGCTCGTGGGCTCTAGAGCGCAGGCTCAGTAGTTGTGGTGCACGGGCTTAGTTGCTCCGTGGCATGTGGGATCTTCCCCTACTAGGGCTCAAACCCATGTCCCCTGCATTGGCAGGCTGATTCTTAACCACCACACCACCAGGGAAGCCCTTTTTTATGCTTTTTTAAGATTGTTTTGGCTGCATTCCTTGAATTTCCATATGAATTTTAAGGTCCATTTGTAAATTTTTGCAAATGAGCAAAAAAAGTCAGCTGGGATTCTGATATGGATTGGCAATTGTTGAATCTGTTGGGGAACATTGCCATCTTAACAATATCAAGTCTTCTGATCTATCGACAAGGGATATCTTTCTATTCATTTAGATCTATTTTAATTTCTTTCAACAATGTTTTGTGGTTTTTAGAGTCTAAGTTTTGCGTCTTGTTAAATTTATTCCTAAGTATTTTATTCTTTTTGATGCTATTGTAAACGTAATTGTTTTCTTAATTTCATTTTCAGAATGGTAATAGACTCTTAACATACTTTTTTTTTTTCATTTAATGCCTAGCACAAGTCCGGGAGGTGGGTATAATTTCTCTTTGCGAAAGAGAAAATTAGTTCAAAGAAGTTAAATGATTTTGCCCACAGGGCAACCAAGGTAGTATTTCTGAGACTACATCTGGATGAATGAGGAGGCAGTTCACTCAACCTGACTGCAAACCTTTGCATGCTTTCTGTTTTCCCTTTGAAACCCAGCTGTGGTACCAGGTAGGGAAATTCAGGGTGTCTCAAGTGAATGAGATATTCAGGCACGAGAGGTGGATCTTACAGTGATGACAGGGGTGCTACATCCTGCCCTACTTCTTAAGCCTTCATGAAGTATTTGGAGGCATTTGATATAGTGATTAAAGGCCCAGGCACTGGGTTTGAGCTCTGGCTTCACTACTTAACTTGCTATCTACCACAGCAAGTTATTTTGATTCTCTAGCTTTCATTTTCATCTTCTATAAAGTCAAGCAGTTATAAGCCCTGCCTACTTCATAGGGTCGTTATTAAAAGGATGAAGTCAAATACTATTCATGTTTGTAAAACTCAGAGCCCAGGGCCTAGCACATAGTAAGTGTTCAGTTAAATGTTAATTTGTAATTGTTCTGTTGCTTATAATTTTATTCTTATTCCGTGTTCATTTTTCTCTCTTCAGTACAAGTTCAGGGATCTAACTATGGAAGAACTGAAGAATGTAAATATGTTTTTCCCACATTTCAGATATTCCATGGATACCTATGGTAAGAATTGTATCCTCTAGTTTTTGCTACATTATTTAAACTATTAATTATTTGTTCCTAGAGGTCTACAAACTTATTATAATTTCTCATTTCTCTCTTTTATCCCCTGATTTTGAGCTACACTTTATGACGTGTGGTTTTTGAGGAAATTTAAGTTAATAAAATTTATATGGTATTAGTTTTCTATTGCTGCTGTAACTAATGAACACAAATTTAGTGGCTTAAAACAACACAGGGACTTCCCTGGTGGTCCAGTGGTTAAGACTTCGCCTTCCAATGCAGGAGGTGCAGGTTCAATCCCTGGTCAGGGAGTTAAGATCCCACATGCCTCGAGGCCAAAAAACCAAAACATAAAGCAGAAGCAATATTGTAACAAATTCAATAAAGACTTTAAAAATGGTCTACATCAAAAAAAAAATCTTAAAAAAAAAAAGCAACACAAATTTACTATCTTACAGTTATTTGGCTAGAAGCCCAGCACAGGTCTCTGTAGGTTAAGTGTTGGCAGGTCTTAGTTCCTTTTTGGAGGCTCTGGGAGATCATCTGTTCTCTTGCTTTTTTTAGTTTCTAAATGTCACCCATATTCTTTGGCTCAAGGTCATCCTCCATCTTTAAAGCTAGCAATGTTGCATCTCTCTGACCATCCTTCTGTAGTCACATCTCCAGAGAAAAGGTTCTCTGCTTTTAAGAACCAAATGTGATTAGCTTAGGCCCACTCTAATCATACAGGATAATTTCCCCATGTCAGGGTCCTTAACTTAATTGTATCTAAAAAGTTTCTTTGCCAAGTAAGGTAACATATGCACAGGTTCCAAGGATTAGGATATTGGACATCCATGGAGGCCATTATTCTGCCTACCACATATATGGTTGATAATAAATTAATAACAAAGTTTTAGTTATCTTCTTCACTTAATATAGAGGGTCTGGTTACCTGAGAAAGATTTTACTTTACTATCTTTCGAGATTTCTGACCACAACCCACACTTGGAAATGTGTTTTATATCATGACCCCATATACACACAACTAAAGTATTATGTACACCTTGGCGTTTTCTCTTCTATTCCATTCCATACCGTTTAAAAAAACAAATGCTGATTGAGACTCACTAAATTGATTTCAGGACCCATGAATTAGTCGAAACACACAATTTTGAAAAAATTCTTTATTCTACATGGGTATGTTTTGTATTTGAATTAGCTTGGGTTACAAAAATATGTCTAATTCAGAATTATATATTGGAAAATTTGAGGCATTATTGAAGTATTTCTTAGGAATAGCTAATTTTATGTGTGGAAGAAATGATTAGATTCTGGCCTACCTGTGTCTGGCCTCTCTTGATTAGCACCCAGGTATTTGGTGCTGCATAAATGCCTGGGATGGGGGATTTAACAGCTACTATTTATTGAACACCAGATATACTTCCAAATGTTTTATCTATATTATTTTACATATTCTTGTACAACCAAAGCTGTGAGGTGAGTATTACCATCTTCATTTTTCAGAGAAAGAAACTGAGGCTCAGAGAGTTTAAATAACTTGCTTAAGATTACACAGCTAGTTAGGCATCGAGTTGGGGCTTGTACTCATGTCCATCTTGCCCTCTGCTTGAATAATACTTGTTCTTTTACAATCTATAAGTAATCTTATAGATTTAAACCTTTGTTGTACCAGTTAATTCTTATTCTTATTTCCCCCATCTAGAGGAAGTAGGCTGTGGTGCCATTAAACCCTCAAGCTATAAGATTAATATTGTCAAGGTACATTTTATTATTGAAGACAATGTTAGTCATGTATTGTAATCATTTTTCTTTTTGCTTTTTGAATAATTTGGACAATGACTATTTACACCTGTAGTTTCTCTACCACATTTTCAGGTTCTTCTGTGTCCCCGAGAAACAATCCCTGTTCCACCCCTCTGTCCATTTTAGTTTTGCCTTAGAGTGATCCCTTCACCTATTGTTACCTTTCACTCATATAGTTCAAGGTAAATATTTGTACTTATGTACACTCTTGGCCTTGAGTTTTCTGTCAGCCTGGCTTTTCCTCTTCTCCCTTTCTGATAGGTCATCAAATCGATTTAGACTTTTTTCTTCCCCTGCATAAATAGTATAGTAAGCTACTGAAGTCCTTAAAGGACCACATTCCAAGGCAGTTTGACAGTTTGAAACCAGATGTAGTGTTTTTGGTATTCAGTTCAGAAATTAGGGCATTGATTCTCCATCAGTGTGTCCCAGATGGGTAAGTTGAAATTTCAGGGATGTGAAGATTGAGAAAAGGTTGAGAATAATGGAGTTAGAGAAAGCAAAGATAATTATTAATCCTTCTAAAAGGTCACTTTCAAAAGTAAAACTTTTTTTTTCTGATTATAAAAGTTATAATCTGATATCTGAAAGTGCTTATAACTGATGTTACATGTGGCAATTATTTGATAATGTCCCCACATTTTATTATCCTTTACTTCTTATTAAGGGTTTTCACATCATCTCATTTAATCATTATGACAACTTTATGATGCAGTCTTTATAGATTTTATATATTTTATAGATGATGAAACTGAAGGTCAAAGAGGTTAAAGTAATCAAAAGTCACATGCCTCTGTCGACGGAAATAATAAACAGTCTATAATAGGAATAGAAAAGAGTTTTATTTGAGCCAGTCTGAGCACTATAGCCTCAGATAGTTCTGAAGAGCTTTCCGAAGAAGCATGGTTTTCAGCACAGTTTTATATCTGTCAGAACAAAGAACATCAAACATCACAGGGGTGCATTCCTTCAAGGTTTCAAAAAAAGACAAATGAGCATGCACACAATGAGTTAGCATGGCCTTGGCGCCTGTGAAGGGAGCTTTGTCATTGAAGGAGTGCTAGCGTTGATGTTTTAGGGAAGGGAGGCATTTATCTCTGTCTTCAAAACAGACATTCTTTACTTCTGGACAATGCACCCTTTTCTTTAATGATTAAAGCAGATTTACAATGTATGTTTAATGGGCCACAAAACTGGCTATTCTAGTTAGCATAAAGCTTAAGTTAAATAATGTATAAGCTAGGATGACTTCCCCATATCTCAATATGTGAAAATTTCTTCCATCACCTCTAAGTAGGAAAAGTCGGCCAAAAACTTGGGATTTCAGTATCTTAAGTCCTGTGTTCTTTCAACTACCTGCTCTTCTTTCTAAGAGCACATCATTTAGTTCTTTGCCCTTGTCAACATATTTACTGATTCCTAGATGATGGTATTTAGAAATTATGTGTGTTTCTGTATGTGTGTATGTACATGCACACACTTTAATACAGTTCTTCCTACTTCTGATTGTGCATTCTGGGACTTTTTTTTTCTTCCAGTTTTCAAAGATAGTTCCCAGAAAAACCTGCTGAATTTCACTGGCACTATTCCTGTGATGTATCAGGGTAAGTGTGGAAGTTGAGAAAATGTGGGAATTTTCTAAAAGAGCAGTTTAATTAAAACGTATATTTGTTTAGTTCCATAACATTCTCAAAGTGTTTTTGTTTTTTTTTAAAGAACATTTGTACGAGCTAGTCAATTTTTTATTTATTTATTTTTAAAATTATTTATTTATTTATTTATTTTGCGGTACCTGGGCCTCCCACCGCTGCGGCCCCTCCCGCCGCGGAGCACAGGCTCTGGACGCGCATGCCTAGCGGCCACGGCCCACAGACCCAGCCGCCCCGCAGCATGGGGGACCCTCCTGGACCGGGGCACAAACCAGCGTCCCCTGCATCGGCAGGTGGACCCCCAACCACTGCGCCACCAGGGAAGCCCTTAAATATTTATTTTGTTGGCCGCGCTATGTGGCTTGCGGGATCTTAGTTCCCCCAACCGGGGATCAAACCCGGGCCCCCAGCAGTGGAAGCTCAGAGTCCTAACCACTGGGTTGCCAGGGAATTTCCCTCAAAGTGTTTTAACATGTATATGATCTATACTGAACCTTACTGGATATAGCAGAATGCTGTCCCAGTGAAGGAAGGCTTAGGTTAATACCAACAAATTCAGTTCAGTTCAATGAATATTTATTTATTGAATGTCAACTATCTGCCCACTACTCTGCTAGGTTTTGAGGTACAGAGGCAAGCAAGACAGACATAGGCCTGCGCTTGTGGAGAGTTAACTCTGCTTTCCATAGCAAACTGCAGGGATCCCACCTTTTTCTCCCATTACATGTATGTTTTGTTCCCCTCCCTTTCCCTCTATATGATGTAGCATTATCCCCATTCTATTGGTGAAACTGAGTCCTGGTCACGTGGTTTACCTGAGTCCACACAGCTGGTATCAGACTGGAACTTAAAACCCAAAAGGAAATTTTTAAAACACAGGTGCCATTAAAGCTCAAAAAAAAGCAACATATTTTCAGATGACCTGACAGGTTAAAATAGCTAAGTGTTTGCCAAAAAAAAAAAAAAAAAAAATAATAAAACCCAAAAGGAAATTTTTAAAACACAGGTGCCATTAAAGCTCAAAAAAAAGCAACATATTTTCAGATGACCTGACAGGTTAAAATAGCTAAGTGCTTGCCAAAAAAAAAAAAAAAAAAATCACTAACTTCCCTATAATTAATTCTGTTTGTCTAGACCTACTTCCTTCAACGTTTAACAGGACTAACCTGTCAGATGGGTGTCATAGGAGCTTGCTTATCTAGTATGATTTGAAGAACACCAGAGAAGCATTGGTTCCAATTATTTCTCTGAAGTGGTGCTTGAAATTCCACCATTAAAAATCCATTCCCCTTTTAAAATGCAAATAATCTCAGGAGGAATAACATCCAAAATCACTAATATACAGTGCTGTGCTTATAGAAAATGCTCAGTAAATATTTGTTGAATGATTGAGTTAGTTTCTTTGATTACTGACTGAAGGGCTTAGGAATAGATGAACTTACTGGGTATTTGAAAGAGGAGGTGCACTGAAAAAGGGCTGAGGAAGATCTGGAAACCAAATGGGGAGAGAGCAGTGCAGTTTGCTGTCTCTTACAAAGGATTCATTGCTGTATTATGGGAGCACATTGCCCAACAGACACCAAGAAGATGTATTTTGGGGGACTTTTTTCAAAGTAAGTGCTTCATTATGGTAGTGGCTAGACTGTTACAAACCCTCCTTTATTGCTTCCCCCTGCCCCCATGATGACTTATTGCCAGAGGTTCACTCATGTTTTATTCTTCCTCTGTGTATGTCCAATCATAACATCTCCTTTGGCACAGAGAATGCTTAGAAATCCAGTTTGGTTTTTATGAATAGGAATGTGGTTGGAGATGAAAGTAGGTAGCAGTGGGCTCTGAAAAAATTGCAGTGAGGTAGGCAGAGCAGGTATAGAGTCGATTTTTATTTTCTTTCCTTGCTTCTTCCCTCCCAAGCTCTCAGACTGTTTTCTGGCTGCCTAGAGAATTTTACTGAGACCTGTTTCCCATTACTTGTATTCTGTGTTTATTATGGTTAGATGTTAGAGACAGAGAGAAAGAATTCTTACCACCCCAATGATTGATTGATTGATTGACTGATTCCATAGTTCTTACCAACCCCAGTGATTTCAAGGGTAGTTGCATATTGACAGAGGAACTTACAAATTTAAATGAATCATTGCTTAGTAGCCCTCAGTTTCTAGGACAATGTGGGGAGGTTACAGGAGGGCATAAAAGTTATCTTAAGATGCCACTCATTGGCACTCTGCATCTTCCTAGAGCGGTGGAGTCAGGTCATTGATTCTTATGCTGGTAGTAATTCCAAGGTAGTAATGGTACCTGCAATACCTTTTGTTTTTTTTTTTTTGGTAGTACACTCTTTTTCCCCTTTGCTTTTGACTGGAATTATAGCAACTCCTTGTGATGCATACTAGTTATTTCCTGCTGGTCAGAAGGTCAGAATGTATTATCTTTCTCATCTGTAAAATGGGCCAATGTAGAGCCTAACTCTACAATTTTGAGGATTAAATGCATTACTCTAAGTAAAGCTCTTAGCATAGTTCCTGGCACATAGTAAGTGCCTAATAAACGTTGGCCATTATTATTTGCATGCTTTTGTTACTTTTATCTGGTTACTAGTTTTGTTAGTATAATAATAATACATGCTCATGTTAAAAAAATTTTAACAATTGAAAAGAGATGAGCTTAAGCTTATATCTAACCTCCTACCCAGTTCTATTCCCCAGCTGAATCTTCTGTTGATATTTCCTTATATATACCTGCAGAAATTTTCTGGATTATTTCTTATCCCTCCAAGATTGTGTCAAGGTTGTGATGGCACTCTTCCTTCACCCACCCATTGTTTAGAGATGTGTATCATCTAAGTAAGATGATACCTATCTGAACTTTATTTACAACTAACTTAAATTATGTCCTTATGATATAATTACTTTAAATCTGAGGACTCTACCAGGAGTCCTGACTCTTTGCTAATGAATTACTGAAAGTAAGTGGGCAGGGTAGGAGGCAGGGCATTTGCTGACAGAAAAGAATGAGAAAGAAGGAAGAAGGGCACAGAGAATACCAGCAGTGAAATCTTACAAGTTATAGACATGGGAATCAGGCTTACCATGCGCTTTGCCAGGAGTGTGGTATTAAAATGCATGAATGCTGCTGGGGAGAGGCATTGATGGAGGCAGCAGATCCTTGATCAACCAGGAAGATACCTTCAATAGACATTCCTTTCCTTTTCTTTAATGTGTAGTGATTAACATTAGAAAATGGCTCCATCGAGATTGGGACTACCACTCCAAAACAAAAAAAATTGCATGGCCTAGAACTTCCCTGGATGTCCAGTGGTTAGGACTCTGCACTGTCAATGCAGGGGGCATGTGTTCAATCCCTGGTCAGGGAACTAAGATCCCACATGCAGCACAGCGTGGAAAAAAAAAAAAATTGCATGGTCTAAACAGTGGCTTATAAATGTTTGATTGTGACCCACAATAAGAAATACTTTTGTATACATAGTTATATATGTATATAACTAAAATTAAATATTATTGTTTGCAGCCCACTAAATTAATTTCATGACCTATTTATTGTGACCAACATTTGAAAAACACTGGTCTAGAGTATATAACTAACATTAGACAGAGTGACTTCTGGAGGAATGTGATGATGTGTCTCAATACCTGTTGGTCACTCTGTGGTGCTGTGATCACATGACTTTATAATCATAGAGCACCAACAGCTATGCCTTTATCCATACTGTAAGTACTTAGATACTATGTATGGTGATGGATATTAACTAGACTTATTGTGGTGATTATTTTGCAATATATACAAATATTGAATCATTACGTTGTATACATGAAACTAATACAGTGTTATATATCAATTATACCCAAATAAAAACAGTTTTTTTAATACTTAGATAAAATTAGAAGAGGAGTATGGTTCTGAGAACTGCTGATATAAAATAGTAGAAATAGTACTAGGACATTTCTATTATGTAGTGACTTTCAGTTCTCTAGAATTACACGGGAAGCTTTTAAATGTCCAGACCCTGTCCCACTGAATCAGAAACTTTTGGGGAGAGGCCTGGATATTGGTATGTTTCAGAGTTCCTTAAGCATTTCTAATATGCAGACAGAGCTGAGTATCATTGTGCTTAGAGCAGGAGGAAGCAAGATGAAAAAAGTAGAGGATTTCCATAGTAAGGAAAAGATTGCAGTGGAGGAGAAAACTTTTTATTTATACCTTGCTTATTTCCAAAGTGGGTTTGAGGTAAATTGTAAAAATTGCCAACCCGTCATGGTACTTACCATGTCATGTACTGTTCTAAGCATTTTATGTACCTTAACTAATTTTATCCTCACAACAATCCTATGAGGTAGAAGCTTTTATTATTCTCATTTTGTAGAGGAAGGAGTTGAGGCACAGAGAAGTTAAGTAACTTGCCTAAAATCATATAGCTAGTAATGTGTGCAGCTAGGATTTGAACCTAGGCATTTGTGCTCCTGAGCAGCCATGTTTTTAAATATATTGAAAGACATATGCATTAAGACTGTGAAAGCAGGAATAAATATCAGGAGATACAATAGAACAGTTAAGATAATTGATCAAATTTCTAGTTTAAGGTTAGTTTTTGCACTTATATTAGGTTTAGCTTTGGGCTTCCTGTAAACCAAAACAGTCAGAGATTTTGGCTCTCAGTAGGCATTGACATACATGGTTACATAGTATGTGGTACAGGGTTACATAGTACATGATACATGGTTACATGGTACATGTACATGGAAGAGCTTTCATTTGGGTTCCTATCTCAGTACACTAAAATTTAAGAGCCACTGGACAAGGTGACTGTTAAGGTTATTTTCAGCTCAAAGTTTTATGTATCTAACCCAGCTTGTATGTTACACTATCTGCAATTAATGAGCAACTTGAGGGCCAGTATCAAATGCATCTTTCATTTGTTCATTCATTTAAAAAATATGTATTTATTTATTTATTTGGCTGCGCTGGGTCTTAGTTGCAGCACGTGGGATCTTTAGTTGTGGCATGCGGGATCTTCGGTTGCAGCATGCGAACTCTTAGTTGAGGCATGTGGGATCTAGTTCCCTGACCAGGGATCGAACCTGGGCCCCCTGCATTGGAAGTGCGGAGTTTTAGCCACTGGACCAACAGGGAAGTCCCCATTCATTCATTCTTATTTATATAAGAAACCTTTATTGAGTATCCAGTATGTTAGGCACTATACTTGTTGTAGGGGACATGGAAATGAATAATACATAATCATCTTTAGACTTTTATAGTGTAAAAAGAGAAACAGACTTGTAGGCAAATAAATTGGGTGGAGCAAAGAAGGTTACCCTAAGAAGATGTATCCCATACTCCTAGCAAAGTAGGTCCTATAAATATTTATTGAATTGAATTGAATAAGCTGGCCGTTGTCTTGATTATATTTCCTCAAATGTTATACTGGTGCTTTAATGGGAGCATATTTCCAGTGTGAATGTGGATGAAAATAGGCCTCAGTTTACGTAAATCCTTTATCTATAAACTTGACTAAACTTGTGTTTTAAAATGCCACCTAGCTATACCATAAGTATAATGTGTGTGGTTCATTGTTGTTTGAAGATGTGTTTATTTTGTCTCAAATAGGTAATACATATAACATACCAATTCGTTTGTGGATTTTGGATTCTCACCCTTTTGCTCCCCCCATTTGCTTCTTAAAGCCAACTGCAAATATGGGAATCTCGGTTGGAAAACATGTGGATGCTCAAGGCAGAATATACTTGCCATATCTCCAAAACTGGAGCCATGTAAGATCAATTTGGATTTTCTTTTAAAAGTTGTTATTTTTCTGAATATTTATCTTTGATCCTAATGGTACAAATAAGTTAGTGAATTTTCTTTCAGTGATAATTCTTCTTATGGTCTTTAAAAATAATTTGAAATTGAGCTCCCCAGGGTCACCTAAGACCCGGAACCCTGCATGAAGCTGCTCTCTCCAGGTCTGGGAGGCAACCATTGTTTGCTCCCTGTCTTTTTATAGTTGTTCGCCGTTTGATAAAGCAAATGAAGAGCTACTAGCAAAATATTGGGCATTATTTCCTAGTTCCTCCCCAGTAAAGGTTCTTATGTAATATGTGTATTTATTTGTAGTTTTGCCTGTTTTTAACCTTTAAAAAAAACATATCATATTGTATATGATATGTATTGAATCATATTGTATATAATCTTCTATTACATGCTGTGTTTTGACTGAGCATTAAGTTTTAAAAATTCACCCACAGCGATGCATGAAACTGTAACTTATGTGTTTTACAAGCCCTCACAGGGACTTCCCTGGTGATCCAGTGATTAAGACTCTGTGCTTCCATTGCAGGGGGCACAGGTTCGGGGAACTAATCCCACTAATTTGGCATGGCCAAATAAATAAGCATAAAAGTAAAAAAATAAATAAATAAAAATAAATGGCCCAGACTTAAAAAACAGAAACAAAACAGAACAAAAACACAAGCCCTCACATTATGCAGTTTTGTATTCTGCATATTTCATCTATCATTATATTGAGCATTTTTCCATATTAAACAGTATTTTCAAAACATATGGTTTTTTTTTTTTTTTTTTCTTGCGTTATGCGGGCCTCTCACTGTTGTGGCCTCTCCCATTTGCGGAGCACAGGCTCCGGACGCGCAGGCTCTGTGGCCATGGCTCACGGGCCCAGCCGCTCCGCGGCATGTGGGATCTTCCCGAAACGGGGCACGAACCCGCGTCTCCTGCATCGGCAGGCGGACCCTCAAGCACTGCGCCACCAGGGAAGCCCAAAACATATGGTTTTTAATGGTTTCCTGTTGTATTTGTAAATTGCTCTGTTAGAAATTTAATAAAGAGCATCCTTAAATATAAATATATATAAATATAAATGTATATGTCTTATAAATCTTTAATAATTTCCTAATGATAAATCTCTAGGAATGGAATTATTGGATCAAAGTTTTAAAATGTTTTGAAGGCTATTCTTATATATTCCCAAATTGGCCTCCAAGAGGTAGAGAAAATGTTGTAATTCTACCATCAATAGAAATCAGTATGGGGGGTACCTGTTTTACAGCACCTTTGCTCTAAAGGGTGCTATAAAAGAAGGTACTATCATTAAAACAAAACAAACTTTTGCTTATCTCTAATGGTTCATTTACTTAGAAGGATGCAGAATCTGCTCTCATTTTTGTAAGTAACTAAAACTTTTATGAAAGGATAATTTATAATATATTTGTATATACCCAGAAAGTTGTAGGACAGGAGGACAGGGATCTGTCAGAGAGGAGTGAGGTTGAAGTAAAGGATGGCATTAGGATTATCACTTGTTATTTTATATACATGTTGTAAAAGGATATGTAGTTGGGGATGCATTTCATAATGTTTTATGGTTTTCTATTTTTTTCATATAAATAAAACTTTTAAAAAGAAGAAAAAAAAGAAAAAGAAAAGATGCATACCAAATTGTCAGTAGTGGAGTTTAGGTGGGAGAACATTAATCTTTTACTTTATGAACTTGTCCATTATTTGCATTACTTGGTGATTTAAATAATAAGATTACCAGTTAAATGTGACGAATAGGGCATGATAAAAATTCGTTAGTTGGAAGGACAAAAATGATGTCTTAACCTTAATGTTTAGTTCTCTGGTTATTTGAGAAATTGAAATCTTATCATACATTTATTTATCATGTACGTTTCCTCTTTTTTGAATTGTCTGTTTATCTCTTTCATCCATTTTTACAACTTAAAAAAAAATACTATCCTTTAACAGTATTTTGACATCTGTGCCCTATTGTGGGAATTTATCTTTCCTGTTTCCTCTTTCTGGTTTTCTTTGGCATCTCTTTTCATAGTTTTGTTTGTTTAATAAATACTCAGAGATAGTCCTGTAATCTAGTCAAGGTTGTGCTTGATTTCAGATCAGACAATATTGATTTCATTTTACTATTCTGAACCTCTTTATTATAAGTTAAAACTAGTCTTAAGAAGATATTGTATTATTTAAATGACCCTATTTAGAAGAACTACATTTGGAGGAGGGGGAGGGATTAATTAGGAGTTTGGGATTAACAGATTCACACTACTATATATAAAATAGATAATATGGTACAGGGAACTATACTCAATATATTGTAATAACCTATAATGGAAAAGAATCTGAAAAAGAATATATATATATATATATATATATATATAACTGAATCAATTTGCTGTACACCTGAAACTATAACACAACATTGTAAATCAGCTATACTTCAATTTAAAAAGTATGATGTTATGATTTTTAAAAGTACTACGTAAACTTTAAGTTCCACGTGCAGTTGGAATTACATAGTATAACTATACAGTTTGGAGCTAGAAGGAATCTAGAGGTCATCTAGGCTAAGGATTGCAGACATTTTCCCCAAGAGAGTCAGTGTGCTGCATTAGGCCTACAGAATTTTGTTTGAACAGCACAGTGGTTTTGTTTTGCTTTGTTTTGTTCTTAATATGAATTTGAATGACTATACATGTACTGTTTCCAATTTACCACAGTGACCACCTCCCCAAATTTTCTTATACTTGACAACTTTACACATTATGTTATCTGCTTAGTCTTTAAAGGTATATGAGTTTTTTTATTCTAATAAAAAATTTATTAGAGTGGGCTTCCCTGGTGGCGCAGTGGTTGAGAGTCCGCCTGCCGATGCAGGGGACACGGGTTCATGCCCCGGTCCGGGAAGATCCCACATGCCGGCGGAGCGGCTGGGCCCGTGAGCCATGGCCGTTGAGCCTGCGTGTCCGGAGCCTGTGCTCTGCAACGGGAGAGGCCACAACAGTGAGAGGCCCACGTACCACCAAAAATAAATAAATAAATAAATTTATTAGAGTGAAATCCAGACTCTGAGAAATTAAGCAATTTTTAAAATGACCAAGCCACTAAATATTCCTAATAATAATAAAAAACATATATTTTACACTCACAACATATAATTTGCATACATTAGCTCATTTGTTTCTCATATTATTGGGATTTATTATTCACATTGTATTGCTAATAATACTGAAGCTCAGAGGTTAAGTGCATTTCACTAAGGTTCCTTAACCAGTTAAGTTAAAATGAACAGTACTGGATTCGATACATATCAGTATTAATTTTATGATTTGATAGTGGTTATATAGGAGAATGTTTTGTTCTTTCTTTTAGGAAATATATGCTAGAGTATTTAGGGGTGAAGGGGTATCATATCTTCAGTTTACTCTCAGTTCAGAAAATAGAGGAAAAGAGACTAAGAAAGAAAATGTTTTAAAATGTTAACATTTGAGTAATCTGGGTGAAGAGTATATAGAAATTCTTTGTACTATTTTTTTGCTACTTTTCTGTAAGTCTGCAATTATTTCAAAATAAAAAGTTGAAAAAAGGCAGATAGACAAGACCATTCCCAAATATAGGTACTCTGCTAGTAAACACATTTATGCTGTTTTCCCACTTTTTGGAGATGTGGGTTTAGCATTTCTCCCTTTATTTTTCAGCTAAAAAATTAATTTTTTTCGATTAGATGTATTAAAACAGTTAAAAGTATCATATAATTTGTATGGTAGTTTTCGAAAAATGAGAGCATGATGTAATACTTTCTTTTGGCTAACTCTATAACAATGTATAGGTTAACAAGGTAGTATTCCTTAGCAAAATTTTTGCATAACTTTTCCCTTTGTGTGTGTTCTGTAGCCTAAATCTGTCATTGTTGGATTAATTAAAGAAATGATTGCCAAGTTTCAAGAAGAACTTCCCCTGTATTCTCTGTCATCATCTGATGAGGCACAGCAGGTAGACTTGCTAGCCTATATTGCAAAAATCACTGAAGGTTTGTATTTTTGTTAATCATAGAGTTATGAGTTTACAATTTCTCACTAATATCCTTTACTCTCTGCTACTTGATTTCTCTAAATAAATACATGCTTGTATATGTACATATCTGTGTTGAATCAAAAATTCCTATATGTTTATCATAAGGTAAGTATTACCATACAGTTCCAATGAATATGGTTTCTTAAAATGTAAAAGATTACTTTTATCCTGACAGCTAAAATAATTTGTTTTTTTCAAAACCACTTGATATATATTAATGATCCCAAGCCGTTTTCATTATATGTTTATGTGGCTTTTTGCCTCATTCAGTATACTGGACAAGAGAATCTATGATTCTCATTGTTTCTCATTGAGGATAAAGCAAAATACCCATGCTTGCAAAATTTCATGTTAAACATTTTTTTGCATTGTAGACTAGAGCAGTAAGAATCACAATGTTTTTCAGAATTATGGAAATCCTATATTTTTAAGAGTCTTATATAATATTTTTTAAATGTTTGGAAAGATATTTTCTTTTTAAAATGATAGCCTCTATTTAGTAGAATATTTAATATGAGATTCCTATCTTTCTTGCATTTCATTTGTTCAACAATATTTTTGAATGTCTATTATGGAGTGCCTAGTACCATGTTTTTTGTCCAAGTTATTGAACTTTGGTGTATTTTTTTTAAGATGCTAAAAAGATTTTTTATATTTTTAAATTCTTATGATAGTTCACTTTACTTTTCAGGTGTCTCAGATATAAATTCAAAGAACTGGGCAAATCATGAGAATAAAACAGTCAATAAAATTACCGTGGTTGGTGGTGGAGAACTGGGAATTGCCTGCACATTAGCAATTTCAGCAAAGGTATGTAAGCATAGTGGTTACAAATACATCTGTCATATTACTACACTTTTAGGCAGTTTCTATTTTTATTTATTTTTTTAATTTTTTTAACATCTTTATTGGGGTATAATTGCTTTACAATGGTGTGTTAGTTTCTGCTTTATAACAAAGTGAATCAGTTATACATATACATATGTTCCCATATCTCTTCCCTCTTGCGTCTCCCTCCCTCCCACCCTCCCTATCCCACCCCTCCAGGCGGTCACAAAGCACCGAGCTGATATCTCTGTGCCATGTGCTTCCCACTAGCTATCTACCTTACGTTTGGTAGCATATATATGTCCATGCCTCTCTCTCGCCCTGTCACAGCTCACCCTTCTCCCTCCCCATATCCTCAAGTCCGTTCACCAGTAGGTCTGTGTCTTTATTCCTGTCTTACCCCTAGGTTCTTCATGACATTTTTTTTTCTTAAATTCCATATATATGTGTTAGCATACGGTATTTGTCTTTTTCTTTCTGACTTACTTCACACACAAGAAGTAATGGCTTCATTTTGTCATGTGGGAAAACTTCATTTTGCCTTAAAATATATTTAGTAAGCTGACAAAAAAAATATGTGAAAGCTCTCATCAGTAATGTTGCTTCTTAGTAGTGAGTTGTGGAATAGGCTTTGAAAACATGACTTGAACAATGGGCTCATCATCCTAATCCAAGGGAAACCTCAAGTTCACATTCATCTGACCTAGTCACAAATTCTTTTGTGTTTTCTGAGTCCTGCTGCTTTAATTAAACTCTTATTTAATATAATACTTAATTTAGCTATTTCTAAAATTAACATTTTTTAAAAACAATTGCCTTTTCTTGTGTAATTACTCCACTTTCTTTTAGGATCATAGTTCCTGATTTGATATTTTACAATAGTTTGAGATTTGCCTATTTTTCCATCAGTCCTTTTTACTAGATCTTTTCTATATAAATTATTTTCAGAAAGGCTAAAGTCCCCCTCCAGAGAGGTTGAAAGACCCTCCAGGGCCCAGTATTATGGTAACAGCATGTCTGTGTCATTTGAGCCATGTAGACCAGAATAGACTAGCTCAGGGGTCCCCAGCACCTGGGCCGAGGACCACTACCGGTCTGTGTCCTGTTAGGAACCAGGCAAGACGTGAGTGGTGGGTGAACGAGTAAAACTTCATCTGCTTCTTCCCATCGCCTGAACCATAACCGCCTGAGCCATCCATCCCACCACCCCTCCACCGCCCCCCCGCCCCCGGTCTGAGGAGAAATTGTCTTCCACGAAACCCGTCCCTGGTGCCAAAAAGGTTGGGGACTGCTGGACTAGCTCTCCCTCCATGTATTTATTTGATAGCTGGTATTTGGTTTTCTTTTCTATTAAAGTTTGATTGATTGCCATCTAAATTCTTCCCTTTCCATTTAAGATTCACGTATATCTTGGAAGTAGGTTCTACTTCAGCAAAGTTAAATTGTATCCAGGGAGCTAGAAGATTTTAAAAGCTAACTGTTCAGAACCATATATGCTAACTTTTGCCATATTATATTTTCATTTCCTCCACACTCCATCTGAATGCACTCTTCCCTCTTAAGTGGAATTTGAAATGTTTGTAGATCTTTTGTTAGTAAATAGAATGCTTCTATAAACATTGCCTTACAAGTTGTTTATTTTCTTCTCTGAATTTTCTGTTAGGGGTACATAATCTCAGAAATAGTACTAGTGAGTCAGAGGGCATGAATGGTTTTTATGGTACTTATTACATATTGCTAGATTGCTCTTCAGAAGGGCAGAACTTTACACTGCTAATAACAGTGTAATTTACACTGCTAATAACAATGCACACATCAACCTGATTTTTGTCATTGCTAACAGTACTAAGTTTTATCAATTTTATTTGTTTTTGGTAAGTGTAGGAAGACCCCTTAAAGTCATATTTTTTAACTGTTAGAAGTCTCACTGTCAGTATTTCTTTGTGAACTGTCTAGTTGGAAAGTTTTTTTCCGTTTTTCCCTTTAAATGTTAATATTTTGATACAAGGTACAATATTCGAATAGTGCAACAATATTCAACTAGTGCAGTAGTAGTCATAATAATGGCAGTAGTTGAAGTGGTGGTAGCTAACCCTTACTGAATGCTTACTAGATCCAGGCACTTGTCTAAACACTTGTTTCATTTTTTTTTTTTTGATTGATTGATTTTTTTGGCTGCATTGGGTCTTCGTTGCTGCGAGCGGACTCTTCTCTAGTTGCAGTGAGCGGGGGCTACTCTTCATTGCAGTGCATGGGCTTCTCATTGCAGTGGCTTCTCTTGTTGCAGAGCATGGGCTCTAGGTGCACGGGCTTCAGTAGTTGTGGTACATGGGCTCAGTAGTTGTGGCTCGCAGGCTCTAGAGCTCAGGCTCAGTAGTTGTGGCTCACAGGCTTAGTTGCTCCGCGGCATGTGGGATCTTCCTGGACCAGGGCTCGAGTTCCCTGCATTGGCAGGCGGATTCTTAACCACTGTGCCACCAGGAAGTCCCACTTGATTAATTTTTACAACAACCTTGTGGCTTAGGTACTATCGTTACTGTCATTTTACAAATGAAGAAACCAGGGCATAGGGAGGTTACCCAACTTGCCCAAAGTCAGAGTATTAATAAAAGGAGCCAGGGTTTGAGATTGGGCAATCTATTTACAGAGCCTGTATTCTAGATCCTTATTACCCAACGTGTGGCATTGGCATCATCTGAGATTTTGTTGGAAATACATAATCTCAGGCCCTACTCCAGATCAAAGGAAGTAAATCTGCATTTTTACAAAATTCCTGGTAACCCATGTGCTTCGCTGATCTATTAAATGGCGATCCCTTAAAGCTTGAGAAGCTCTGCTCTAAACCACTATGTAACACTGCCTTGTTGTGGTTATTGATGGACATTTAGTTTGTTTCTAGTCTTTTGAATATCCTTATACATATTGTATCATTTTACACATGTACTAATAAACTTGTAGGATGATTCTACAAATGAGGTTGATGGATTAAGGGAGTTGTGTTTTTATTTTTTTTATAAGGATTTTTTTTTTGATGCAGACCTTTTTTTTTTCTTTTTTGTCTGTATTGAAATTTGTTACAACATTGCTTCTGTTTTTATGTTTTGGTTTTTTGGCCACAAGGCATGTGGGATCGAACCTGCACCCCCTGCATTGGGAGGCAAAGTCTTAACCACTGGATCACCAGGGAAGTCCCTGTGTTTTTAAACTTTGACAGAAATTGTCAAATTATCCCTCATATCAATTGTGCTAGTTCATTCTTATTCCCACAGTGTTTGAGAATACCTGTTTTCCCACACTACTGTTAAACTTTGGGATCTTTGCATGTCTAATAAATGAAAAGTGGTAACTCATAGTGTTCTTTGCATTTCTCTTATGAGTGTGGTTAATGTTAATAAAATTAATAGGTACAATTTAGAGAGGACTGCTCTTTGCCAGCCCTGTGTCACATAATTAATCTTCATAACTCCAAGAAATAAGACCAAGTTCAGTGACTTGCTCAGTCTTACAAAGTTAATAAGTAGCATGGCTGGATTGCTTCCTGTACACTTTCTGCCTCATAGTCTGCTAGATCCCTGGGTAGTCTTGATCCTGCACCCTAAGATAGGAGAGATGCTCATATCCCTTGCTGCTTTGGAAAAAGGACTTCCACGAAGATAAATCGACTCTTAGGAGTTTCCATCCTGTTGTTTATGGTCAGCCCACCATGGCACCTAGAAAGCTGTCTACAGGCATGTGAAGTATTTTCCATGAGATCTCTGGGGAGAGAACTGCATGATAATTGGGTTTTATTTTAGCTTTATGACTGTTATCTTTTTTTCTTCTTAAGAGAAACTTGGCATTAGTGTTGACATTGATGCTAAAATAGACCAAAAAATAGACCCCAAAAAATCACTCTAAGTTCTTTCAGAATGGAAATTATGACGAAACAAAAACATAAACGGAAGAAAAATAGCAAACATATTGAGTGCACCATGTCATCTTTATTACTCATTATCCCATCAAAAGAAACCTGCACTCTGTGACTTCTGAGTTAAGCCCTGTTAGAGCCCAGTTTTTAGTTAAGCCTAAAGGATCACATTATTCAAGTGCATAGTATTTTCTTGCTTTCATGTCCCTTTTATTGCTGTTGTGCTGCTTCCTTCATAAGAGAGCACATAGGCCTATGTATTCATTCTCCCTTAGCTCTCACTTCTGAATGAATTTAAACTGAGTAACTGGCCATGTGCAGTGTAATGCTGTTCTTTTTCTTATTGTACTGTACAGGGCATTGCAGACAGACTGGTCCTCTTAGACCTCTCAGAAGGGACTAAAGGAGTGATAATGGACCTTGACATATTCAACCTGCCTAATGTGGAGATCAGCAAAGGTCTGGTTATTCTGCTTAAAAGATTTGTGCCTTAATGGAATATTACTCAGCCATAAAAAGAAACGAAATTGAGCTATTTGTAATGAAGTGGATAGACTTAGAGTCTGTCATACAGAGTGAAGTAAGTCAGAAAGAGAGGGACAAATACCGAATGCTAACACATATATATGGAATTTAAGAAAAAAAATGTCATGACGAACCTAGGGGTAAGACAGGAATAAAGACACAGACTTACTAGAGAATGGACTTGAGGATATGGGGAGGGGGAAGGGTAAGCTGTGACAAAGCGAGAGAGAGGCATGGACATATATACACTACCAAACGTAAGGTAGATAGCTAGTGGGAAGCAGCCACATAGCACAGGGAGATCAGTTCGGTGCTTTGTGACCGCCTGGAGGGGTGGGATAGGGAGGGTGGGAGGGAGGGAGACGCAAGAGGGAAGAGATATGGGAACATATGTATATATATAACTGATTCATTTTGTTGTGAAGCTGAAACTAACATACCATTGTAAAGCAATTAGACCCCAATAAAGATGTTAAAAAAAAAAAAAAGATTTGTGCCTTGTTTGCCCTTATATTTGAGTCCTAGAATTTTTTTGTAGACTTTATTTTTTAGAGCAGTTTTAGGTTCAGAGTATTATTGAGCAGAAGGTACAGAGATTTCCTGTATACCCCCTGCCCCCACACATGCACAGCCTCTGCATTGTCAGTATCCCCTACCTAAGTGGTATAATTGATAAACCTCCCTGGACACATCATTATCATCCAAAGTCCATAGTTTACATTAGGGTTCACTCTTGTCTTTGTATATTCTATAGGTGTGGACAAATCAAACATGTATCCACCATTATGGTATCAAACAGAGTTGTTTCACTGCCCTAAAAATTCTTTGTGCTCTGCCTAGAGTCCTAGAATTTTTTTGCTGAAAGCATCTTAAAGATCACCTAGTCCAAGTCCCTCATTTTACATATTGGGAAACTGAGGTTCATATAAATTAAGGGACTTACCTAAAGTCATACAGATTGCAACTAATTGAGTTAATAAGAGTCAGATAAGCAAATAACATTCAAATCGGTTGGAAGGATTTATTCTCAGTCGCTGACTTATACCTTAGTATAAATTGTTTTCTCTGATTGCTTCCTTTTTCATAATATGTTGGTTAAGAACACTGATTTTAGAGTTAGACATGGGGGTTTGCATACTAGCTCTGCCATTTGTCAGATTATATAATCTCTCAAAGTTCAGTTTTATCATCTGTAAAGTGGGAATTAATACATACCTCTTTGTATATAGCAAAGTGCTAAACCAAGATTAAAAAAAAAATTCATTCACATTGCTTTCACTAAAAATATACTGTTAAAACGAATTTTATTAAGAACAAAAGAGGGGTTTGTATCATTAATAAATAAAATTTAGAATGTTAAAAAAGTAATTTTTAAAATCTTTTTAATTCAAAAGATTTGCATATATTTAATAATGTACATAATATATTAGTACAGACATATATATGTAGGTAAATACCAGATTTGGGGATGTGGGAATAAAGTTATTTTATTACCAGGGATGCATGATCAAAAAAATTGGAAAGCCATTGAACTAGAGAATGTTTAGTCTCCGAAAACCAGGTTATAGCTAGAGTCAGGTTGTAATATGCTATAGTTGCTTAGCTTTCCTTTGCCTTTCCTTACTCAGGTCTCGTGTATTCTTTTCTTTTTTTTAATACATTTATTTATTTTATTTATTGGCTGTGTTGGGTCTTGGTTGCTGCGCGCAGGCTTTCTCTAGTTGCAGGGAGCGGGGACTACTCTTCATTGTGGTGCGTTGTGGGCTTCTCATTGCAGTGGCTTCTCTTGTTGCAGAGCATGGACTCTAGGCCTGCTGGCTTCAGTAGTTGTGGCACGTGGGCTCAGTAGTTGTGGCTCATGGGCTCTAGAGCGCAGGCTCAGTAGTTGTGGCACACAGGCTTAGTTGCTCCACGGCATGTGGGATCTTCATGGACCAGGGCTCAAACCTGTGTCCCCTGCATTGGCAGGTGGATTCTTAACCACTGCGCCACCGGGGAATGTTAACCATATTTTTTCACCATATTTTCCAAATAAAATATGGTTATTTTCTTAACCATATTTCCCAAATAAAATATCGAGACATATGGTTTCACAAGGCTGAATGTACTAAGAACTGCAGTAGATCAAAAAGTTGAAATTGTACCTATAGTTTATAAAAATTGGGTGTAATAGTTCTAGCAAGCCTCTGGATCCCTGTAGGAGACAATGGATTTATTTTCTTTCTCTGGAAAGGTACAATAGTTGCTTTAATGATCCTTTTGTAAGCCTTGTACAGAGGATCCCTTGGGGAGCTGGATAGTCTCTTGTGCCTCTCACTTCCAGGTGCTGAAGTTCTTAAGGGACCTCTTCACTCTCCCAAATCACTCCAGGAGACTGTTTAGTACATGGACCCTAGAGGTTGTGAGGCCATTTAGGACCTGAGGAAATTGTTTCTTCCTATGTGTCTCATTAGCCATCAATAACTATTGTTTCAGATAATTGAAAGAATAGAATCCTTGGAGTAGATATATAGGATGTGGTACTTGCCACCAAGTAAGGAGTTTTGAATGAATGAGCACTATATTGGGGCAACTTTCATGTTCCCCTTGTTAATTTTGATTGCATATTCCTGATAATTACTATTACATGAGGTAATTTAAAATATAATATTAGCTAACATCTCAAATATGTTCTATGATATGGAGAAGTGTGTTAATAATTTTGGGAAAGTAAGCTCATTTGGAAATTTTAGTAATGCCCCATCATGACAGGCATTGATGATCATCCTAGAGTTGTACTTTTCTCCATTTGGATTTTTTAAACAGCTACTAAAATACTTTGGGGAGGGCTGTGCATAGGTATATGTGAGCCTGCAAACATACATACTATACATACATAAACAAACAGTGTGTGCATAGACTAAATCTGGAGAAATACTGAGAAACTGTTAAGAGTAGTTGCTTTGGGAGTCAGATTGGGGAAACTGGTTCTGCACTTAGTATTTTTATCCCTTTTTTTATTGTGTTAAAATACATATAACATAAATTTACCATTAGTGACATTCAGTATATTCACAATGTTGTGCAACTGTCATGAATATCTAGTTCCAGAACATTTCCCTCACCCCAAAAGGAAACCCTCTACACATTAAGCAATCACTTCCCATTTTCCCTTTTCCCCAGGCCCTGGCAACCACTGATCTACTCTGGATTTGCTTCTTCTGGATATTTCATATACATGGAATTACACAATATGTGGCCTTTTGTGTCTGGCTTCTTTCACTTAGTATAATGTTTCCACGGTTCATGTATATTGTAGCATTTATCACTCCTTTTTATGGTTGAATAATATTCTGTGGTCTGGATATGCCACATTTTATTTATCCACTTATCAGTTGATGTACATTTGGGTTGCATCTTTTTGTTATTGTCAGTAGTGCTGCTGTGAACATTTTTGTACAGGTTTTTGTTTGAACACCTCTTTGCAGTTCTTTTTGGTATGTACCCAGAAATGGAATTCCTAGGTCATATCGCAATTCTGTGTTTAAGTTATTGATTACTTTATAGTATCATTTTGAGGATCATTATTAATAGCACATAGAGGTCTAAATAGCTCTATATCTTTGAACAGCTTTATAATAATATTCCATCATATGGATGTCTGTCTCCTATTGGTAGACATTTAGTTTTTCTGTGTTTTTCTGTGATTACAAATAATGCTGCAGAGAACATTGTAATGTAATAAAAATCTTTGTGTATTTCTCTACCTAGTAGGATAAAGTAGAATTACTGGGTCAAAGGTGTTTTTAAAATGTATATTATTGGGCCTCCCTGGTGGCGCAGTGGTTGAGAGTCCGCCTGCCGATGCAGGGGATACGGGTTCGTGCCCCGGTCTGGGGGGATCCCGCATGCCGCGTAGCGGCTGGGCCCGTGAGCCGCGTAGCGGCTGGGCCTGTGAGCCGTGGCCGCTGAGCTTGCGCGTCCGGCAACGGGAGAGGCCACGACAGTGAGAGGCCCACATATCGCAAAAAAAAAAAAAAAAAAAAAAAAAAATGTATATTATTAAGCTGTACTAATTTATACTCTCACCAGCAGTATATGAGGGTTCCTGTTTCCTTTCTGCTGATTACTTTTATTTTATATTAAACATAGCTAATAGAATAATTATCCTATGATATTATTTTGATTGTGTCATTTCCTGGCTGAAGACACTATTATGTTGGTCCCTTATCCTTAATAATAATAATATATGCCATTTTTTTTTCAGGGAATCCAGTAATATAAGCTAGATAGTTTACATATATTCCATTACTTCTCTTACTTTATTTTATAGATGGCTGAGAGAGATTGTGGCTTTGGTCACACAGTTAGTAAGCAGGAGTTTCAAACATGTTTGTTACCAATTTCTTATGATTCACTCCAGAAATAGTCTCTGCATATACAAGCATAGATATTTGGGTGTATGAGTATGTGTATGTGTGTGCCTCAAGAAAAAAGTGTTCAATATTTTCAAATTAAAAAATAAGTTGTTGTTGGGAGTTCCCTGGCAGTCCAATAGTTAGGGCTCCAGGCTTCCACTGCAGGGAGCATGTGTTGGATCCCTGGTCAGGGAACTAGGATCTCACATGCTGCGTGGGATGGCCAAAAACAAACAAAAATAGCTGTTGTTGACATATGGAGCAAAGTAATATTTTCTCTATAGCCAATGGTTCTTAAAACATGGGTTATGGATTGATCCCTTGTGTGAGAATCACCTGAGGTGCTTTTTAAACTTACAGAAACCTGTGCCCACCCCAGGCCTATGGAGAGATTAAAAGGCTTTAGAGTAGGAAGGCTTTCTTGCACTTCTGAAATCATATTAGACAGCTACTACTCTGTTTATTTATAAGTCAACCTTGAGGGTGAGGGCATTTCATCATTCAAAGTAGAGGAAGCTAAAGAAGGAAAAGAAAGGAAATATGATCCTGGCAAGATAGGTTGGGGCCAAACTGTAGGGTCAGAAATTCAACTGTTCACTGGTATTTAATACAGCAGTATGGACAAGCTACCTAATCCTTCCAGATATCAATTTCCTCAACTTTATGAGGGTATAGGACTAAGTTTCTAAATATAGCATAGTGTTGAACAGCACTCAAGCCAGTCTGCCTGGGCTTGAATTCTGGCTCTGCTACTTACTAGCTCTATGACTTTGAGCAATTTACTTAACTTCTCTGTGCCTCAGATTCCTCATCTGTAAAATGGGGATGATATTGCCCCACAGTGTGTTGTGGATTACATTAAATGAGTAAATACAGGTCAAGGTCTTAGAACAGTACCTGGCACATAGAAATGGTATGGAAGTATTAACTGTATACCTTTCAGTTATAATGTCTTCCAATGCTGAGATTTTGACTCATTACCAGGTATCTATTCTGAACACTAGGACACAGGCATTATTTACTTAAGAGGACTCATGAAGAATCATAATTAAGATGCAGGACTTCAGTTTTTGGATCTGCCCCCACAGCTGTGTCAGATTATGAATTAAAATTGGATAATGCATTTCCCAGTGGACACCTTGCACAAGGGTTTCATTCTGCAACTTGTTAAGGAAAATGGCCTTATAGGCTTAATTAAGACTATAAACCCTGGAATCTACTCATTGTCTCGCTAAGATGCTAATAATCATTTACACATGTTGACTGAACTGATATCACCCTAGTTACTTTATTATTTTTCTGTTGTTTCTGATACTTATAATTCTGGCTACTGTTTTGGCATGTACTTCTGTAAAACACACTGTGTAATAGAGAGTAATGTAGTTGTAAAATAGCATAAGTATGCTTGAGGATCAGAGATGTGAATTCTGGAGAACAGCTTTTCCTAAGTCATAACAGTTGCTTACATGTAAGCCCCATTAGAAGAACCTAAAACCAAGACACTGGGCTTCAATGTAAGGAAAAGTCAGTAAAAAAATGAGCCAAGATGTTTTATCTTGATTTAAAGATTTTCAAATAATTTTTTTCCTCTTCGGGGTAGAATCCTTAATAAATAAAACAGATACAAACAACACTATGCTGTGCCTGCCAGCTTTCTTTCCGCTTATTCCCATTCCTACATGGCCTCTTAGTCACTTTCAAGGAACTCTAGGACTCCTAAACTCGCAGTTTAAAAATCAGTGATGAGAACAAACGTATGGATACCAAGGGGGAAGGGGGGGTGGGATGAGTTGGGAGATTGGGATTGACATATATACACTATTGATACTATGTATGAAATAGATAACTAATGAGAACCTACTGTATAGCACAGGGAACTCTACTCGGTGCTTTATGGTGACCTAAATAGGAAGGAAATCCAAAAAAGAGGGGATATAAGTATATGTATAGCTGATTCACTTTGTTGTACCATAGAAACTAACACAACATTGTAAAGCAACTATACTCCAATAAAAATTTTTAAAAAAAGATGTGGTATATATAAAAAATGGAATATTACTCAGCCATAAAAAGAATGAAATAATGCCATTTGCAGCAACATGGATGGACCTAGAGCTTAAAAAAAAAATCAGTGATGTAATTGATTATAGGTGCATTCTGCCTATAGCATATTATTTATTTTTTCTAAGAAAATTGTGAATGACATAGAAACCTAATTCCCTGTTTGTGGAGTCTGGATCCTGTAATTTATGTTATCTTTTTTGCTCTTTCCTCCCCTGGGATACACTCTTGCTTTTAATCCTCTTTCTGGAGGCAAACCTCAGCACTTTGTATCCTTCCTATGGACACAGGATTGATCTAGAGGCAATTGTGCTAAAAGCTGTCTAATTGTAGAAAAGAAGAACCTGATTATCATGAACAAGAACTTGGTTAAAACCTTTATCTTGAGCTCAGACTGTTTCTTTTTATTCATTAGATTTGTCTGCCTCTACTCATTCCAAGGTGGTGATCTTCACAGTCAACTCTCTGGGTAGTTCTCAGTCCTACCTCGACGTGGTACAGAGAAATGTGGATATGTTCAGAGCCTTTGTTGCAGCTCTGGGACATTATAGTCCACATGGCATCCTGCTCGTTGCATCTCAACCAGGTACAAGACTTTATTTTAAATAAATTTGGTGGTCCAGTGTATCAGTAGAATCGCCATTTCTGATAAAAGTCATAACACAAGGTTATAAAGGGACAGCCAGAGCATTCAGTTAAATTGCTCTTATGATGAACAATGCAGTATTTTCCATATCCTGTCAACCAGTTACTTCTTCTGACTGTCATTAACTAGAAGGTTACAACTTACAATTTTTTATATAATATTACTATTAATATGTTCCAGGTTGTTAGCCATGCCTTTCTCAGTGAGAAAATGGTTAAACGCCCAAGAGAAAGATGCAGTAGCTTATAGGAAGGATCCTTTGTTAGCTCTGAAGTGTCATAAAATGTTAGTGAGCACACCAGAGTGCATTTTTAACATTTTGTATTTTAAATTGTTTCTCAAATTATTTGAGAAATTTTTTCCAAAGAATTAGGTGGTACTGGACTCAAATTGGTGAACAGATTTTTTTTTAATGTTCCCAGTATAGGAGTATGATATGAATTTCACTTGTTTTCCTATAGCAATTGATTGAGGGATGTTGGTTTAATTCCTGACATCCTTTTGGCACATAAGAAAAAAATAGTTGTATTTTTGTTGATAATGCTGTATAGAATGGTGGTGGTATATGAATCAGTATTTTAATTTAAAGATAGAAATTCAGCTTAAGCTAGATATAAAAGAGAACTTGATCAATGAAAAAAATTATTTTCTGGTTTGCTGTACCCAGTTTTCATCTTTCTCGCTTAACTGCTCTAGGAAATTATCTGTTTTCCACTCTTAAATTTATATTTAACAGCAAAGTTATGTAAAATCATGCTGAAACCTGGTTAGTTGTTTTTAATTATTAATTAAAATTAAAATATATTAAATTTACATAATATATAATAAATTTTAAAATATGTTATGCTTCATAGTGCATTTAGAACCTAAGAAGAGTATATACAAGTTTTAATATACTTATTAAAATAATAAATATTTTGTTTAGGAACTAGGTTAGAAGTACCCTTTTTAAAATATTTATATTTTCACCTTGTATGTAATATTTAGTGGAAATCATGACCTATGTGACGTGGAAACTGAGTGCATTTCCTGCAAATCGAGTGATTGGAATTGGTTGCAATCTGGATTCACAGAGATTACAATATATTATTACAAATGTTTTGAAGGCACAGACTTCAGGAAGAGAAGTATGGGTTATTGGTGAGCAGGGAGAAGACAAAGGTAAGAAATACATGTTTATTAGTTATGTATATTGATAACCTACATCACCAGAGGCCATGATATGCATGATATGCACAGTTCTGGGGACTCCAGAATTGTGGCACTTAATTGGCTTTCTTTCCACATTTGAGTGCCTTTTGTGTGACAGGCCCTGTATTGTGAATATACATTGCAAACATGTCATTCTGATTGTATTTACTTTTCTGTAAGTAAAAGGCAAGACCCCCTTAGGTTATATATTTTTATTTATCTTTTTATATTTTGTATTTGAATTTCAGCATCCAGGATCAATTTAAAAGTTTAATTTTCTGGAGAGCAACATTTACATAAACCCTAAAGCATATACAGAACTCTTTCCTTTACTCTCCCATCCTGCAATCTTGCTTACCTTTCCCTAAGTTCAGACTTTCTCCCTAGGTACATACCTCCTGTCTGTTTCTCACCTTTTTAAACAGAATTTTCATTCTTTATTTACCCTTATGGCCTTTTTTTTTTATCAGCTACTTGCTCTCTGCTCTGTCCCTACCACAGAAAGCATTCATAAAATACAGTCCCCTCGGGCTTCCCTGGTGGCACAGTGGTTGAGAGTCCGCCTGCTGATGCAGGGGACACAGGTTCGTGCCCCGGTCTGGGAAGATCCCACATGCCGCGGAGCGGCTAGGCCCGTGAGCCACGGCCGCTAGCCTGCGCGTCCGGAGCCTGTGCTCCGCAATAGGAGAGGCCACAGCAGTGAGAGGCCCGTGTACCACAAAAAAAAAATACAGTCCCCTGGATTTGAAAGCTCCTTTTCCTATCCCAAAAGAATGCTTTCCCTATTTGATTCAAGAATCTCTTTTTTCTTTATTTTTCCCTCATGCTATAAAGTCAGGTTGGTTAGGTGATAAAAGTGCTTTATCCTAAGTTTGTTCATTTTTATTCATTTAAACAAGTATATGAGTGTCTACTCTTCTCACTACTATATAAGATGTTAGTGTGATACAAAAGAGGCACAGAGCACAGTCTCTTCCTTCATCATACTTAAAAATTATTTTAGAGCAACAAGAAAAATATTTACAAGATGTTTTGGCTAACAGTGAAAGTATCGGATACTATTTGATTAAGTGCCAAAATGCATATATTTTAAACTTACAGTGCTTAGACACTTATGAGTGAGCATTTAACATGGGTTGAAATGACTGGAGAAAATTCTGTGTAGGCCATCATTGAACTGTACTTTGGAAGAATGAATAGGATTTGAATAAATAGCAAAGAGTGGGACAGACATTCCAGGAATGGGAAAACAGGCAAAGGCACACACTTAAGTATGGCATGGTCATGGGATAAAAATATCTAGACTGGTTGTTGCAGAGTTTCAACCAGATAAACTTGGTTGCTATCACATTTTGGAGATCCTTGAATACCTGATAAAGAGTTGGAAAGTGATTCTCAGGCAGAGGGGCACTATTAAAGGTATTTGAGCATGAGGGTAATATGCTAAAAAGGTAATTTGGGGAAAATTAATCATTGCTTACTCATTTAAAGTATATTACTATTACTCTATTCAGCCTGTAGGTGCTGTAGGGTAGAGCACAATGTAGAAAAGAACTTCTCTGCCTGTGAGGAAGTGATCATTTAACTGGAGAACTAGAGGAAGATTTTAAATCTGTATAAATCTGCACTGGCTACCTAGGAAGTTCAGTGCTAGAAAGAGTCAGGCTATAGAATAAACCTTAAGAAAACCTGACAGTGTGATTCAAGCAGAAATAGCTTTTCAGGCACAGAATGCTTCCTGACACTAAACACTAATCAATAGAACCAGAAAAGGGGAGCAAATAAGAACTTGGAGCAGATGTATTAGAGTAACAAATGTCTAGGGATTCAAACAAACTCAAGACCCCAAATTTTACTCACTACTACCATTTGAATTCTGGTCCATGTTCATCTCCTGCTTGCCTGATTATTGCAGATCTCCCAGTTAATGTGCTCTTTTCCCTCTAGTCTACCCTGTAAATGATGCCAAATTAATAATGATATTAGCTAAAACTTACAGTATTTGCAGTATGTTTCATATATTAATTCAATGTTCCTAAGTCACGTTCCTCTTTTCAAAAACTTTCACAGGCTTCCTCTGACCAAATTATTAAATTCTTTTGCTTGCCACTCAAGGAGTCCCAAAATGCGTCTTAATCTTCCTTCCCAATTACAGTTATGGAGAGAGTCATGTTATTAGAGAGCTGGAAGCAACCCAAGGGATCATCAATTACAGTTTGTTGTAGGGAGCCAGCAATGGATGGTAAGAGTGACCTCCCCAGGAGGCTGTAGCTTTTCAGGTCAAAGCGGGGCTAAAACCCAGGTCTTGTGCATCTCAGCCCCACCCCACAGCTTTGCTTCAGCCACAGAGACCTTTGTCTGTTGCATTTACCTTTCCCATAATCCCTTCTCTTTCTCTCTCAGCATATTCAAATCTCATTCTTCAAGATCTAGGTCAAGTCTCCCTTACCTTACCCTTTGAAGCTTTTCCTGATCATATCATTGCACAGTGATTCCTTCATTCCTTTGAGCTAAAAGCTCTTGCTAGCTATGTGGTAATTAACCATATATTGTCTCAAGATATTTATTCTTTTTTAACTGCTGTTTATTCTGATCCAATTTGAATTTCGTGTGTGTACCTTCTCCTTATTGAAAGAGTAAATTATTAAGCTGTTCTTTCAGTTGAAAAAGTCGTACTTTCACATTGTAAAAGGATTAAATAGTACAAAAAAATATGTAGTGAAAAATAAGTCTCCCTTCTATGCCAGACACCTAGTCCCTTCTAAGCCACGCAACCTTGCAGAAATGTTCTGTGTATGGACAAGCACATGTATGAAATATACATAATACATCATTCTCCACATTGCCCTTTTACTTATTGATATGACTTGGAAATGATTGCATAATAACATATATAGATCTTGCTCATCCTTTTAAACTACTGGATATACCAAAATTTATTTAACCAGTCCCCCTAATAAGCTATAATTTTTGAATGCATAAGAACATTTCACAATATGGTTATATTAATATCTCAAATTGTAAAGAGAAAATAAAGGATGGTGTGACTTGATAAATAAACCTAAGGTACTGTGCTGACTGCTGTTGGAGCTACATAAATGAATAAGAACCTGACCCTGTCTTTAGGCAGCTTGGAGTCTAATATAGGAAACGACTATAATTAAAGGCAGTGTTGACTTGCAATAAGAGAGGTCCAAGGGAAGTAAGACAAAAGCACAAGGAAGGGAGCTCTCAAGTAGGAACTAGAAATGGAGAGATGTAGGTGCATGTGAATTGAGATCACTTAAATATAACATTATGTAATATTTGACACATATAAAAGAATATGTATAGCATATATGTATGTTTTAAAGCATCATAGTAGAACAAACATTCATGAATCCATACTCAATTAAGAAAAATACAAATACCATTGAAGCTACCTATGTACTCTCCAACCCATCTCCCTATCTCCCTTCTAGGTACTACTATCAGATCACTTTTTATCCTGTCTTCTACTTTGTTTCAGAGACAGTTCTACCCACCGATAATTACCTTGGTCTTGAAGCCAGAAATGGATTAGAGGCTCCCTCTGCTGGTTTCATGTGTGGACACCAATTGGTTATATCTTTGCATAGGTGACACCACAGTAATAGCAAAATTAGAATTATTTTTTATTGACTATTAAATGCTTTGTATATCTCATTTAAAATTTAAAAACACTCCATGAAGGAGGTGGTAGTTTTCCAAATCAGATTCAATGAGGTTAACAATTTGTCCAAGGTTTACACATTTAGTAAGGGCAGAACTGCAATTTGAACCCTGGTCTGACTTCAAAGCTGTACTTTTTCTTGCTGTGACTTAATTAGATAATTTATCTTAAGCATTTAGTACAGTGCCTGGCACAGAGTAAACACTTACAAAATGGTAGCTGTTACTACAATGATCAAGATGGTGAGATGGTTATGAATAGAAAATTGGCAAAGGGACATGGAAAACTACACTTTGAAATAATGCAGTATTATGGTTTAGAAACAGAGTTATAAGAATAGCAGATATGTAAGTGAGATTATTTAAGTATTTCAGAGACAAATGACAGTTACAGCCTGGAGGAGGAATTACACGACATATAAGACCCTTTAGGATTTGTTTCATGCTTCTTTCCTCAGCCTCATCTTCTGCCATTCTGACAAGCATTTTATGCTAGTCAGATGATCAACTTGCAGCTTCCCGAAGGGTTCATGCACTCTCCTGCCGCCTTGCCTTTGCACCTGATGCTTCCTTTCCCTGAACATTCATTAATTTGGCTAAGTCCTGCTTACCCTTCAAGACTGGGCTTGAGGGCTTCCCTGGTGGCACAGTGGTTAAGAATCTGCCTGCCAGTGCAGGGGACACAGGTTCGAGCCCTGGTCTGGGAAGATCCCACATGCCGCGGAGCAGCTAAGTCTGTGCGCCACAACTGCTGAGCCTGCACTCTAGAGCCCGTGAGCCACAGCTACTGAGCCCGCGTGCCCCAACTACTGAAGTCCGCATGCCTAGAGCCCGTGCTCCGCAACAAGAAAAGACACCGCAGTGAGAAGCCGGTGCACTGCAACAAAGAGTAGCCCCTGCTTGCCGCAACTAGAGAAAGCCCGCGCATAACAACGGAGACCCAGTGCAGCCAAAAATAAATAAAAATAAATAAATAAATTTATTAAAAAAAAAAAAAAGACTGGGCTTGAGTGCCACCTCTCCCAGGAAGCCTTCCCTAATTCTCCAGGTTAAGTAAGTTTATGCCTCTATTATAACCACTATCACACTGTGTTATAATTGCATATTTACTTGTCTCTTCACCCCGACAGACTGTAAACTCCTTGAGCTTGGAACGGCCTCAGTAAATATGTTTTGAAATTAATGAATGATCCTGATACCATCTTGTTGTATCCAAAGGTCATTCATACAATGCCCCACCAAATTAGTCAGTAGAACATGTGCTTTGGAGCTGCTATTTTTAGCTGTGATATTGAAATCATATGTAAACTGCAGATAACTCCTTCAAATGGTGTTTTAGATACCCAAGGGCTGGACCTCAAAACAGAGTGTTAGATCATCTGCTTTGGGCATCAATCTTACCTAAAGGATAGGTGTTATATGTAATGGAAAAGAGAGATCACATGGTCATTTTTTATTAAAATTTTGGGGGTCAGGAGATTACTGTTTTTAAGGAGTAGAACCAGAAAGATTAGGATTGATTAGATCCATTATTTGAAAGGGATTCTTAAACTAGGATAAATATACATTTAGGAAGTGTGAAGGGTTGGGTAGTAAATGAACAAAAAAATGAAATATTTCAGTCCATCTAAACTTAACTGAAAATCCTAATGACTGTGTCAGAAGCAAATTTGAACATAGTGAAGCTTTCTCCCTCTCTCCAAACATTGTTTTCTCATGGCTCTTATAAGTCCAAACTCAGAGGAAAGATAAAACGTGATTATGTGTGTAATATATAATGGCAGTAATACTCATAATTGAATTCCAGACTTCTTTGTGTCTTTTGTCTTTTCTTATACCTACCTTGCCCTTCTTATTTATCTTTCCAAGGTCTGTAAATGCTGTGTTCCATTTAGCAGACGTTTCTCTGCAGTTTTCTGTATATTGTGAATATACTAATAATGTGCCAAAATTTTGTTTGAGAAAACAATTCGTGTATAGCCCTTCCATTCTAGAGAAACATTTTTTAAATACTCATAATTAAATTCCAGACTTCTTTGTATCTTTTGTCTTTTTTTATACCTACCTTGCCCTTTTTATTTATCTTTCCAAGGTCTGTGAATGCTGTGTTTCATTTAGCAGACATTTCTCTGCAATTTTCTCTATATTGTGAATATACTAATAATGTGCCAAAATTTTGTTTTAGAAAATAATTCATGTATAGCCCTTCCATTCAAGTGAAACATTTTTTAAAACCCCTTAATTTTTCCACATGTATTTATATTTTTCATGTAACAATTTTTGGTTTAGCTTCTTTTTTAACTTAACATAAAAACTTTGAAAACTTTTCAGTGTTTTTCAACTTAACTGTTGCAACTATGTTTTCCTCTTTGCTTAATATAATTATGGATTTTGGACTTCCCTGGTGGCACAGTGGTTAAGAATCTGGGGCTTCCCTGGTGGCGCAGTGGTTGAGAATCTGCCTGCCAATGCAAGGGACACGGGTTCGAGCCCTGGCCTGGGAAGATCCCACATGCCGCAGAGCAACTAAGCCCATGTGCCACAACTACTGAGCCTGCGCTCTAGAGCCCATGAGCCACAACTACTGAGCCCACGTGCCACAACTACTAAAGCCCGTGTGCTCTAGGGCCTGTGCTCCGCAACAAGAGAAGCCACTGCTAGAAGATGCCCGAGCACTGCAACAAAGAGTAGCTCCCACTCACCGCAACTAGAGAAAGCCCGTGCGCAGCAACCAAGACCCAACACAGCAAAAAAAAAAGAAAACAATTAAAAATATATAAATAAATAAAAATACCTTAAAAAAATTATGGATTGTGTGCAAGGTCAGCTCATATTATCTCCTGTGTATTCTTTTTTAAAAATAATTTTATTTATTTTTATTATTTATTAATAAAATTATTTTATTTATTATTTTTACTTTTTATAAATAAATATTTATTATTTTTCGTTGCAGTCTTCATTGCTGCGCGCAGGCTTTCTCTAGTTGTGGCGCGCGGGGGCTACTCTTTGTTGTGGTGCACAGGCTTCTCATTGCAGTGGCTTCTCTTGTTGTGGAGCTCAGGCTCTAGGCACGCAGGCTTCAGTAGTTGTGGCTCGCGAGCTTCAGTAGTTGTGGCTTGTGGGCTCTAGAGCACAGGCTCAGTAGTTGTGGCAAACGGGCTTAGTTGCTCTGTGGCATGTGGGATATTCCTGGACCAGGGCACGAACCTGTGTCCCCTGCATTGGCAGGCGGATTCTTAACCACTGTGACACCAGGGAAGCCCATCCTGTGCATTCTTTACTGTGGTAAAGAATCTGTGTTGGAGGACACAAAAGAAAAACACATGATCCCTGCCCCCGGAAGCTTATAATCAGTTTGAGGAGGGGAAGCTGTCCTTTGTTGCTGACACATCACTAACTGGCCTAATCTTGAATGCAGTTTAGAAGACTTGTGGGAATTCCCTGGTGGTCCAGTGGTTAGGACTTGGCGCTTTCACTGTAGTGCCTGGGTTCAATCCCTGGCCAGAGCTAAGATCTTGCAAGCCGCGTGGCATGTATGCATGTATATATGGTTCCCAGTGGAGCAAATGCCAAGTGCTTGCAGCACATGGGAGCCTATTATGTATTGCCTTCTGAGAAAAGAAAGCTTTCTACTTGGACAGTAAAATGGCCCAGTGTTGTTGAGAGAGAACAGGTAAGGGGCTGCAAGTAGACTTTGGGGATCATGTTTTCAGGAAACTGCAGCTCAAAGACTTTCTCACCCCAGGCAATCAGTACAGCATATTTAGTGCCACCAGTGGAAAAATGTAACTCTAGCTAGAAGCGGGGGAAAATGTTTCTTTAAAGTTTAGGGCTTCCCTGGTGGCGCAGTGGTTGAGAGTCCGCCTGCCGATGCAGGGGACACGGGTTCGTGCCCTGTCCGGGAAGATCCCACATGCCACGGAGTGGCTGGGCCCGTGAGCCATGGCTGCTGAGCCTGCGTGTCCGGAGCCTGTGCTCTGCAATGGGAGAGGCCACAACAGTGAGAGGCCCACGTACCGCAAAAAGAAAAAAGAAAAAAGTTTAATACAGGTACCCTTAACTGCAGATGATCATTTATCACATCTTAATCCTAAAAGAGTTATTGATGAAATATAATCAGTTTTTCATTTAATTTTTAGTGCCCACATGGGGTGGCCAAGAGGACGTAACAAGGCATAACTCTCAGGTGCAGCTGTCCAACAGGTAATACTGAGTGTAGTTTTGCATTTATCCAACTAAAAACCATATACGTCATAGCTAATGGAACAGCTGTTTGCACAGCATGTACTTACCAGGCTTCTGCAAACAAAACTTACTAGTATGGACAAAACCAAAGTACATGAGAAAAGTGTTTTCCACTCTTTGATTTCTTATCTCAAAATAGATCTAAGAGTGCTTTGCAAGCTTAATATTTAGATATACAGTTGACTCTTTAGAGGATAGAATAGTTTCCTTATTTGTAGGCAGTGATTTACTGCTCCTATATTTAGGATATAGGATCCTATATCTCAGGGTATTGGATATTTTCTTAAATGTAGAAGAGAATTTGTCTATACCACTTAAAAATCAATATGTATTTATTAATTACACATAAATACATTTGGAAATTAGTCTAATATGAATGGATAACCCACATTATAAATTCAGGCAAAAACAAAGTATAATGCACAGATCCTTGTATCTTTTGTGTTTATTCAGAGGCCTTCCTGGGGTCTGGACCTGATAAGGTGGACTCTACATACTGTATATTTTCAAGCCATTTGTTGTTTTACTGTCACATAATAACATCCTTTCCTGAATTCCGAGTGGTGATTTTTAGCTTTTTAAACCTGCAGTTTATGGTTTTTAGAATATAACAACTGGAAAGAATATTCTCTTATTGAGAAGAGTAGTATGTTGTATAATCCATTCTAATCTGCTTCTCTATATAATGCTGCATTTATAGCTTTTAAAAGGAAGGAATTCAAACATGTTTCTTTAATTTGTATCACTTTTAATTAGTTACAAAATGAATGTATGCTCTCATAAAACTATTTTTATTTATTTTTTTATTGAAATATAGTTGATTTACAATGTTGTGTTAGTTTCTGGTATACAGCAAAGATAAAACTTTAAATACTGCAGATATCTATATAGGAGAAAGTGAAAAGCAGGGGTAATTCTGTTCTCCAGAAACAACCACTGTTAACAGTTTAGTATCCAAGTATCCAAACATTTTTTCCCATGCTTCTGCAAACATTATCATTATTATTTATTATTATTTTATAATAATAAATGTATGCTATTTATATTATCTTGCAACTTGCTTTGTTTCCCTAATAATAAATCTTGGATATTTTTCCATTATTGTACATATAAATCTACTTTATATTCTTCTCAAGAGTTATATGGCACTAGGGGACTTCCCTGGTGGCGCAGTGGTTAAGAATATGCCTGCCAATGCAGGGGGCACGGGTTCGATCCCTGGTCCGGGAAGATCCCACATGCTGCAGAGCAACTAAGCCCATGTGCCACAACTACTGAGCCTGCGCTCTAGAGCCTGTGAGTCACAATTACTGAGCCCATGTGCCACAATTACTGAAGCCCACGTGCCTAGAGCCTGTGCTCCACAGCAAGAGAAGGCACTGCAATGAGAAGCCAGTGCACCTCAAGGAAGAGTAGCCCCCACTCAACACAACTAGAGAAAGCCCGCGTGCGGCAACAAAGACCCAACACAGCCAAAAATAAATTAATTAATTAATTTAAAAAATAAAAGCTATATGGCACTACATTTGGTAGTGATTTATTTAACAAGTCCTCTTTTCATGAATTGTTTCCAAAATTTTTTGTGTCTCAAACAAGACAAACGTACTTATATGTATATCTTTGCACACTTGAGCATATTGCTATAGGATAAATTCCTAGAAGAGGAATTTCTAGATCAAGTGTTGCCAGATCTTCCTCTTAAAAGTTGAATAATTTTGCACTCTCAAGAGCAGTTATGGGAATGCCTGTTTCTCTTTAGCTTCTGCGAAAGTAGTTATCAGTCTTTTTAATCTTTGCCAATTTTGATGGGCAAAACTGATGTATTTATTGTTTTAACTCATATTTAGTTAAATATTAGTGGTGCTGAGCATCTTTTTATATTATTAGGCCATTTGTATTGACTCTCTGTGAACTGCCTGACATTTTAAGAAAAGTTTCATTACTAGACTGTAGGTTTTCCTAAAAATTGCTGTATAACTCTCACTTCTGTGTCATAAAAATATCTAATTAATACCTTAAATAGAAGCTAAAACTAAGTGTACATATTTTGTGCATTTTCTAAAATCATGATTTGTGTGTTTTGTTTTTGTTTTTTATAACCTAGAGCCATGGAACTGTTAAGGGTAAAAGGTCAAAGATCCTGGTCTGTTGGACTGTCAGTAGCCGACCTGGTTGACAGTATTGTGAATGATAAAAAGAAAGTGCATTCTGTATCAGTTTTAGCAAAGGTAATTGCTATTCTCATTCTCTCATCATATTTTAAAATATTTATACTATTAATATAAAGCCAGAAAAAGTGCTGTTCACGCTGTAACACAGGTATCGTCAGTATCACCAGCTTTTAGAGTAACACATGGGAGAAGACAGTTTGGTCTAAGCTCTGTCCTGCTTGGCTATGGGAAGTCTGGGCTTCTACCAGGTTGCCCTTCACCCCCATTAATTTTTGGAATCCTCAAGAAGCATTTATGAATTCCACAAACTTCTTGTCGTCATTTATCTCCTCAGCCAGCCAGGTCACCCCAGACCGACGTGCCAACTGGTCTTAGCCAATCATCAGTCTGCTTCTCCAGTTCAGTTTGTCCTTTACTGCTTTATTCCAAGTATAGAGTCCCTAAAGCACAGCTAAGATGAGGCACAAATGCTTAACCAAATGTTCATGAAAACTTAGGAATACCAGAAGGGAAATAAAACATGGAAGGAAAGACTGAAAACAGATTACCAAATTTGACTGCACTCAGAGTCCATGCTAAACCCCTCCCCTGGGAATTCACTCTGACATTTTTCTTAAACCCCCAGCCTGTTACTCATATTGCAGGGGGCTAGCTTACCTCCCCATAAAGTGGGTGTCTTTGACCAAGTTCCATTTCACAAAAATTTTGTGAAACAGTGACTCGAATTTAGAAATTAAATGAACAATTTTTTTTTAAGTTCAACTTGTATCACTTTGTACTTCTAGGACCAGAAAAGCAAGAAAATACCCATATTTATGGTATTATCTTTTTTGCAGTGATTTGGCTCTAATATAATCCCAATTATTTCATTTCAGGGATATTATGATATCAATAGTGAAGTGTTTTTAAGTTTGCCTTGCATCCTTGGAAACAGTGGAGTGTCTGAAGTCATCAGGACCACAGTGAAAGAAGATACAGTGACTGAGAAACTCCAAAGCAGTGCATCATCAATACATAGTCTCCAGCAACAGTTAAAACTTTGATTCTAAAGTTCAGAGTTACTTGAAAGGAAAGGTCGTTTAATTTTACCAACATATATATAGGGCTGAGAACTTCTGTGTCTTATTATTTATCCTTACAAACTGCTTGGTTAAGGTAGATGGTCTCTTGGTTGGCTTTGTAATATGAATCCTTAGGTAGTTAGATAAGAAGGAAAAAAATGTTTTTCTTGAGATATCTATACTGTTCTTTAAACCTACAGCAGAGATAAACATTCATCTGCAATATGCATCATTTTAAAATTATGTATCCTCAATTAGCACCTTCAGCACTTTGGGATTACTTTGAAAATGATACATTTTTAAAGGAAGATTACTCTTTGACTGTTACAATAACCATGATAAGCTGAAAGCCCAGTATGGATTTACAAAATCTGTGCCAGCTATACACTCAAAGGATCCACAATTTAAGCTATTAATGTTTCTTCTTTAAAAACAGTGGGTAGTAATGATAATAAAGCATTTTGTTTTCCCTCTTCAAATTGATTAGCTACCAAAAAAATGGAAAAGAATTTTACACGTACTTTAAAAGAGTAAAAAGGAAAATGAAATTTTTTAATATATGAAGAAAAAGTGTACTTTAATTTCCAGTGGGACTGTCCTTTCTGGAAATTTCTATAACCCCTTCCTAGGCTATATAAGACCTCCGACATCTCAAGAACGCACTGTGACATAAGTAGAACCATAGAGAATGTGTATTTTTAGTGGAAGTAGGTTATGAATGAAAGCCAAACAGTTTAAAGCTAAAATATAAGGCTTTCATAAAAGCCATTGGTCTTAATGGGGAGAGGCTGGGTGGGCTGATTGTCTGAGCAAATCCTTTAACTACTCCTGAAGAAATGATTTACTTTGGTGATGGGTCAATAATGACAATATCTTCATATGTGAAAGATAGCATATTATTACGAATGTGACGCACAGCTAAAAGCAACAACTAACATCAACACTTCTAGTATTTCTGGCAATGTGATGAGCACTTTATTGTTTTATTCCTTAGGATTATTTATTAATCCTCACAGTAACCCACTGAGGTAGGGACTATTATCATCATTTTATAGAGGAGGAAATTGAGGTTTAGTGCCCAAGATCTCATGACTAAGGGACACTACATATAACCTCTACTTTTTCTAAGTACGAGAAGACGCAAAAAGCATAAAAGCGGAAATAGTTACCACAAGACCCTAAAGCTGGGGTTCTATACTCTTATATTCTCATGTAGGGGCTTTTTTTTCCAATATAGTTTTTAGAACGACTGATTCTCTGACTTCCCAGACTTGCCCTCAGCAAATAGCTGGGGGGAATGGGGGAGGTATGCACTGAAGTAGGCGTTTAGTTATTTAGTCATTCAGTTAAATAAGTGGGAGCCTGCTATACACCAGGTGCCATAGTGGGCACTGCAGATACAGTGGTGAGCAAACCTGGACTAGGTACAAGCCCTCATGGTGCTTATAATCTAGTATGGAAACATAGTAATCAAGTCTCACAAATAAATGTACAATTGCAAGTGTAATAAGTGCTGTGAAGAAGTCCCAGGTGCTTTGAAAGCATATTATAGGTAACCCAAACCTGGTCAATGAGATAGGAGCCAGATGGATTATGAGGGCAGACATACCTTAGGTAGAGAGGAAACAGTCAAACTAATGCTGATTTAGAATAATAATGGATGCTTATAATGATGAGCTTAAATCATAAAGAAAAGGTGAAATTATATTCAGTGTTCCATGTTTAAGTAGAAAAGTATTTAATATGCTTAGAAAGATTCACACCATAATGAACTAGTGTAAAAACATTGGCCATTTGAAGAGAAGAGCATTAGTTCTGTGTAATTTCACTGCATGGGTAGGTTATTTTGGTGTTAACTCTAATAGTATATCCTCACTGTCCTTTTTTATGAAATAAGAAATTAAAACTAAAAGGACCATTTCTTGTGTTTTAAAGTCGCCTTTTCTAATATCAGATACCTAGTTGTGCTCTTGAACAATAACCTAATTACAAGATACTGTATAAATAGATGAATTGCTAAGAATTCACTACATTAATTATAAAAGGAACATGTCACTACAACAATACTTATTGCGTCTACTGTTATTCCAGGTACTGTGTTAGAATCTGAGAAGTCAAAAGATGAGTAATAATAGCCCTTGCCCTACAGAAGCCCACAATATAGAAGTAATTCTATCAGATATTTCCTTGAGTGTTGAGTATTATAAATCATATAGTAAGTTCCATATATAAGTCAAGAAGCAGTACCACCACCACCTCACTGTGATTTGGTGATAATTTGACATTCATGATGCTTCTATTAACTTTCACTTTTTTTCATCTTTCCAAAATCATGCAGTGTCTCTTGTTATGGTTTTTAATGGGGCTTGGATTAAAATGCTTCTTTGATATTGTAACAGATAAATATTTTATTTTCCAATTTACATTGTAGTTATTCTTAAATATCAAGAATAATGAATAAAATAAACTTTGACTTTAAAATTACCGGGAGATTCCTAATTTATTGGGTGAAAGGAAATATATTCAGATTGAGGAGAAAAATTCTTTCCTATAATTCATACAGTCCCCAGGATATTTAGTTACTTCATTTTAAGTGGCTTAAGTGCAAAATGAAGAGAATGGATTTTGTTAATTGTTTTCAAACTTTAAAAACTTATTTTTAACAAGAACACCTTTTGAACAATATATTACATACACTCTTCCAATTGATAAAAGTAGAATTGCTGTAACTGAAGGTGCTCCTGGGTAAGCTGTGGCTTTAAGAATAGTTTGAAAAGCACATTACTTTTAAGTGACAAAGAAGAGGTGTAGGGAAGGATAGACTGCCCTATAGTTTGGTTTGACTGGAGCTGTGTGCTTAATATATAGTGTCCAAAGAAAGATACCTATTAAAATAGACTATTTTGTGTGTGTTGGCAACAATGTGTAATGATGCTTCCACATGTCAGTTAGGCCCTCTTTGTGTATGTGACCTTCATTTAGATGCCAATTTAGAAGAGAATTAATACCACAGCCTGTTCCCCAGTAGCACTATGCTAATGTCATCCAAATAATCATACTTCACACAGTCAAACCCAAGCTTTACAGTACCTTGAACGGCACTGTACTTACAAAACTGGTGGTGATGTGCAATAATAATGACTAATGTAAATGACCATGAGGAACTTCTACGGGTATAGAAATTCAATTAAGATAGAGTACCTACTCTTGCACTGTATAATAAGACAATGAGGATCTGAAGATGAGTCTGCCCTGAAAGACTTGGACTTTGTTAGTGGACAGGCTAGTACACACACGGAGTCCAAGGTAGAAGGTAGGATGTCTGGGCACCAAGGATAAATGGGGGCTTGGATTAAAATGCTTAATCCAAGCATTTGGATTAGGGGAATGATTTCCTGTAGAAGAAATTACTGCCTGGCTTCCTGTGAAACGAGGGCTCTGCACTTTGCCCTCGGGGATGTAGTATGATGAACTTTTCACCTTAAAAATGAAAAACCACCTGATAATCAGAGACCCTGGGCATCGCCTTTCATCCTAGAGTTGGAAAAAACTGAAGCCCGAACTAGGAGTGCATTTGCCTGCTGTTATCAGAAGGGCAAGTCAGTGGCAGAACAGTTTTCTGACTCCAGTCCGGTGCCTTCCCACTTGATGAATCAGTCGTTTAAGGTCACCGGCAAGATCTTCGCACTTCTTCCCCTCCCTGCACCTGCGCTCTTAGTCTAAGGGCAACTGTCAAAGACCTGCCAATCTTATCCCGGCTCAGAGTTTCCACCCTCGGAACAAGAGTGCACTCTTGGAAAGATTCACACCATAATGAACTAGTGTAAAAACATTGGCCATTTGAAGAGAAGAGCACAAAATTGCACAAGATTGCTCGGCCTGCCAAGCTCTATCCACGCCCACCCTTGGTCACCGACCTCGGAAGTGACGTAAGGGAACCGGAAGCGCTGGCGTGGTGGCCTACTTCCTGTTGGTAGAGGTGGGGGGGTGGGGGGCTGGCTCCGCGGTGTGCGACTGTGTGGGGCAGCCTGGGGCAGCCCTGGAGCGGCTGACCGTCTGCCTGTGTGGACGGGAGTCGCGAGGCGGCCGCCATGGCGGGGTCGGAGAGCCAGCTCAAGAAAATGGTGTCCAAGGTGAGGCCGCGGCGCGCTCGTCTTTCGGCGCGCACCCACCGCTCCCTTCCGCGCCGCCCGGGCCTTCCCGACCAGCCCAGCGAGCCCCCCCGAGCGAGCCCGGAGCCCCGGGCAGTGCCCGGCCGCCTCCGCCGCCCCAGCCCCGGGATGCCTGTCGCCTGGTGCCGGAATCCTGGGCCGGGGCCGGCGGGGTGCGGCGACGGTCAACAAAGGCGCGGAGCCGAGGCTGCCTGCCACCTGCCGCCCGCCCTCCTCTCTTCAGGGAGAGAGTTTGGAGCAGTCTTTGGGGCAGTATAGTTTTCGTCTTAGTTTTTATCAACACAAAGAGAGGGTTGTACTTAAAACTCGGTCGTGGGCACTCCTCCACTTGTGTCCCAGTGTAGGGTTCGTGCGTCTTCGCCCTTCCCTCCCGGCCCCCGGAGATTGTGTCCTTTTCGGTTTGTGTTCTTCACGCAGCTCAATAGCCGACCCGCGGGAGATCATAACTTTTGGTTGAATTGGCTCAGTTATAAGTAAAAACGTCCTGAGAAGCCAGAATACCGGTACCTCACTACATCGGGTGAAATAAATAGAATTCCATTACCATTTCAGGGACTTTGATTTGCTGAGAGTGACTACCTTTAATTGTATGCTACTTATAACGCGGAATTATTTGCTTTGAAATTTTTAATCTTCACCGTTCAAGACCGGTGTATTTTTTTCATTTTTATAAAAGCAGGTAGGCATTTTGTATTTAAAGCCGTGAGTTATTTTGACAACTACTTAAAATGTGGCACCTGATACCAGAGTGAACTGGGTGGTTTTTTTGTTTTTTGTTTTTTTTTCAGTTTATCAAAGCTAATTGGAATAAGGTGTATGTGAAATGGTTGAGTGTAGAATCTTCTCCAGTTAAACGATTAGCTTTAGATACTTTTGTCAAAACAAGAATGGTAGGAAGCAAAGAAGTTTAAACAGTTTTCAATAGTATTAAAATACACTATTATGTATGAACTTATTCCTTTGAAAAATATACTTTTTCCTCCAGTAAAGTCATCCCCATAGTCTTTGATTGAAGAGCAAATAATCTCTAAAGAGAGAGTGATGGTTTTTTAAATAAAGCTTCTCTTGATCTAATCATATCCTCTAGGCTTCTGATTTTCTTTCTTTTTATAAAAATTGAGGTATAGTTGATTTAATTTTCTTTCGATAAAGTAATTGTCCTTAATTGTAGAGGACGTTCTAGGGAGCCCTAGAAGATTGTGGCAGAGGTCTATGTTGTAACATTTATATATTGCTTTTTTTTTAAGTACATTGTTTTATATACTATGTAACTGAAGAGTATCTGTTCCGTATCATTTTTTTTATCTATAAAGTTGATAACATTGCCCTTAAGGTTTATTCCTTAATTTATATGTATGAAGGTATTTACATACAAGGACAGGAATATTCAAATATTGGTTTTGAATTTTTAAAACCATAATTAGTTTTCCTAAACTTTCTGTAGAGGAACCTGCCTTCAAAGACAGAGGCAGGACATCTTTAGAAGATATTTTATACCTCCACCTGTCTCTTCCCTCCACCCTCTTCATATCCTAAGAACAAAAAAAGGACATAGGGAAGAGGTGGGAGAGGGCATTCTATCTTTCTTTTGGTTCTTGGCTCGGTTTCTGAAAAACTGAGTCTCTTACAAGTGGTGATGTCAGTTCTGAGTATCGGCATGTTTTCTCTCCAGCCTGTGAAGAGATGGATAGGTAGGAATAGTAAGTAGGATAATAGAAGCAATTTGTGGAATTTCTTCCTCCTGGTGGAGGGCTAGCTTCAGGTGTTACCCTTTCAGTTGGATGTGGTCCAGTGTAGGCATTGGTAGCCAGGACCTTGGACACATTGCTAGGGTGATGGTCCTTTACTCTTTATCTGATTCTGGGACTTCCACCACCCAACATGTTACTTCGGGCCATCTGCTTTGACTTACGTCTTTTTTGAGGTATAACTGACATAGAACAGTATATTATCTTTTGATATATTACTACAGGTATTTTTTTCCGTTGAGCATTTATTTTAGCTCCCAACTTAAATACAGCTTTTAGTTTAACAACCTCTCTGTCATAGTTTTTGCAGTTAAGAGAGGTATATTTATACTATTGGTCCATCTTGCTTTACACAAATAACTTTTATATTTTTCATACAGACAACTACCTGTATTCTTACATGCTACATCTACAGCATTCCTAGAGGTGGAGTCACTACTGACTAGGTAGGAGAGAGCTGGCACACTAAAGATTGTAATGCACTTCACACTGTTTTAGATTCTAGGGATACAACAGTGAACAGACAGTGTGGAATTTAAATTCTATTAGAAGGCAACAAACAACTCAGTAAGTACATTAAGTAGCATGTTAGAAGGTGTTAAGTACTTTGGAGAAAAGTAAAGCAGGAAAGGGTAATAGAGTGCTCAAATGTGAGAATAGGATAGGTTGCAATTTTATAGACTAGTAAAGGAAGGCCTTCCTGAGGTCTATTTGAGCAAGACCTGAAAGAGGTGAGGGGAAGCAAACTGGGACAGTCGGGAGTAAGAACATTCCAGGAAGAAGGAAAAACAAGCCCAAGGGCCCTGAGACAGAAGCTTGTCATGCATGATAGAGGAACAGCAAAGGGAGCTAAGGGAGCTGGACTGGAGTGAGCAAGGGGAAACAGTGCTGAATAAAGGGGTGGTAGATTTTGGAGGGTCTTGCAGGCCACTGTAAGCACTTTGGCTTGTACTTGGAATATGGTGGGAAGCCCCTGATCTGTTACTTGTACTTGCAGTATGGTGGGAAGCCCCTGATCTCTTAACAGTATAGCTCTAGCTGCTGTGCTGAGACTAGACTGTAGGAGGTTCAGTCGAGTGGAAGCAGAGACAACTCTAAGGAGGCAGTTGTGGTAACCTAAGTGTAGCTATGAAGGTAGGGAGGAGTGATCAGGTTCTGGATATTTTTGAAGGTAGAGCTAACAGGGTTTTCCGACAGACTCACTGTGGATGTGCAGGAAAGAGAAGCATCCAGGATAATGTCAAAGCTTTTGTCCTGAGCAACACAGACATGGAAGACTGTAAGAGGCATAGATTTTGGGGGGAAGATAAGGAGTTCAATTTTGATCATGTTAAATTTGACATTCATTAGATATCCAAGTGGAGATATCAAATTGGTAATTGGATATACATGTCTGGAGTTCAGGAAAGAGGTTCAGACTGGAATTTTTTAATTTGGGAGTTATCAGTGTATAAATGTTATTTTAAGCCATGCATGGGAGATCACCAAAGGAGTGAGTTGAGATAAAGAAGAGGACCAAGGACTGAGCCCTGGGGCTCAATATTATTAAGATAATAGGTTAGGAGAAGAGAAAGAACCAGCAAAGACACTGAGAAGGGGTAGACACAGAGAGGAGAAAAAGCAGCAGTGGTGTCCTGCAAATCAAGTGAAGAACATGTGTTAAGAAGAAGGAATTGATTTGGTCAAATGCTGCTGTGATAGGTTAAGTAAGATGAAGACTGAGGATTGACCATTGCATATGGCCATGTGTGGCAGTTACTGGTGACGTTGATGAGCAATTTCAGTGAAAGTGGAAAACCCTGATTGGAGTGGGTTTGAAGAGAACGGGTCTAGTCTTTGAGCATCAGTGGTTAACATCACGGAGAGATACCTAGATGTCATGCTACGGGGTGGAAAAACACCATCATCTGTGAAATGATCTTGCCAGAGAGAGGGGAAGACATTGAAGGGAAAAAAAAGTAAAATTTAGAAAAAAATCATGAAAAAGGTCATAACTTCCAGATCCAACTACTAATTCACAAGAAATACAAAGGAAATAGGAACATATATATTAAACTACACCAAGGGGATGCAGTTAGCAAAATCCAAACTGTGGGAGCTTCTGTAGGACAAATGAACCGATTTCTTCAACAAGTAAGTTTCAAGGGGTTAAAATAGAAATGGGCCCACTGATGAGTAGTTAAATAAAATGTGTTATATCCATATAATGGAATATTATTCAGCAACATGAATGTACCTTGAAAACCTGCTAAGTGAAAGAAGGTAGTCATAAATGACCACAGACTATATAATTCCATTTATATGAAATGTCCAGAATAGGCAAATTGATAGAAACAAAGTAGATTAGCTGTTGTCTAGGGTGAAAGGGGATGTTGCTGGGTGATTGCTACAGGGTGTGCATTTCTTTTGGGGGTGATGAAGATGTTCTAAAATTGATTGTGGTGGCGGTTGTACAACTCTGAATGTACTAACAGCCACTGGGCCTTACGTAAGTCACTTTAAATGTGTGAGTTATATGGTATGTGAATTATATCTCAGTAAAACTATTATCAAAAAAAGAGGGGTGGGAGAAAATCTGTAGATTAAAAGAGGCCTAAAGGACATTTTAACAGATTGAAATATGTGGTCTTTATTTGGATCTCCATTCAAACTAAAAAAAAAAAAAAAGACATGAGACTGCATATTTTATGATATAAGGAAATAGTGATTATTTTAGTGTGATAATAGTATTGTGGGCTTTTTTTTAAAGTTCTTATCTTTTAAAGATACGTACTAAAATATTTATGGGTAATAGGATATGATGTTGCCATTTGCTTCAGAATAATACAGGAGGAGGGAAAGGTGAATGAGATTATAGATTAAATAAGATGGGCTATGAGTTGATTGTTGAAGCTGGGTGTAGTGCTGAAGCAGGGGATTTATTATACTGTTCTACTTTTGGATACCTTTGAAATGTTCCATAATAAAAAGCTTTAAGAGGAGAGAGTAGGAAGAGAGCAATTACGGACAGCAAAAGTAGGAAGCTCCTTGCAGGAGTTTTTGCTGTAAAGGGGAACTGAGAGAAGTTTGGTTGTAGGTGGAGGGGGAAGGGAGGTAAGGAATGTTTTTGTGTGAATAAGACAGGAGAAAGAAAAATATGTGTGTGGTAATAGTACTGATCCCATAGCATGGAAAAATTGGTGCTTCAGGACAAAAGAGGTCAAGAACTGCTGAAGAGATGCCTTTGAGTAGACCTGGATTATTTCCTAATTTTTCTTGTATTTTCTCCCTTATTGTCTATCACTGTCTTTTGTGCTGGTCTCTGAGATTTCTGAGATTTCTTTGACTTTATACTCTAATCCTTCTATTGGATGTTTTATTTTTACTCTCACTTTTTTTTTTTATGTCCAAGAGTCCTTTCTTTTCTGAGTGTTCTTGTTTTATGGATACAATATCATTTCTTCTTTCTTTGAAATTTTTAATGCTAATTCTTTTTGAAGTTTTCTTCTGCTCCTTGCATTATTTTTATTCTTAGCTCCTTCTTTCCGTTTCCGTCTGTGACATGTTTCTTGGAGTCTTTCTTTTTGGAATAGCTGGCTGTTCCTTTTTAAGAGAGAAGCACTAACAGCTGATTGAAAGCTTTGTGCATGAATGGAGCTTGTCAGCTGGTGAGCTTCAGTGTGTTGTGAACAGATGGGGATCCCCATTTCCTGATTTCCTAATCTGCTAAGAGTGTGTAAACAAGGTTCCTAGTTTTCCTGGACTGGAGTGGTACAAGGCAGGGGTATGAGAATACAATACAGCACGTGGTAAATTGCAAAATAGTATTGACGATGAATGCTGGAGAGGGAGAGATCGTTTTGGGCTAAAGGGAAGTCTGGAAAAGGATTCATTGAGAAGGAAAGTGATGTAAACTAGGTCTTTGAGAATGATTAAGATTTGATTTGGCGGAGAGCCTTTTAAGTTGGAAAAAGAGCTAAAATGGAGGTAAAAGTTTGAATAGGTGGCAGGAGAAAAAGCTACTGAGGTTCTTTCAGTCTTTATTTAATTAATGTTAATGATCACTCAGAACCATTAAACATTTAAGAAGAGTGCTATTAATAAGATTTTAAGAAAATTAACCTAGCAGTAAAATATGTGCATTGGTTTTAAACTAAATTCATTTGTAATTTTCCTTTTCAGTACAAATACAGAGACCTAACTGTACGTGAAACTGTCAGTGTTATTACTTTATACAAAGATCTCAAACCTGTATTGGATTCATATGGTGAGTTTATATAATAAAAATATCAAGTACTATACTTTGAGTTTACTCTTTTTGTTAATAATTGTAGGTTTCCCATTTTTCCTTTAAGTTTGTTGGTTTTTTCATTGTAGGACTAACCTTCACCTAAAAAAAAGTTGTGAGAGATAGGAAATTGCAAGATCTAATAATAACATCTTACATTTGTTTAGTTATTTTAAGTTTTAATATACTACTCTAACAGAACTAATGCAAATTTAGAACTAGAGGTGATGTTAAAAATAGTTTAGTCCATCATTTCCCAAAATAGTATACATAGTTGTGAAGAATGTTGTTTTGGGGGCATGGGTAGAGGGGATTCTGAGGTTAAGTTTGAGCACTTATAGATTAAACAAAATTAAATGGGTTTCTTTGCAACAAGATTTCTCAGAGCCTTTAATATGCTAATGTGTCATTATGCCTCACCAAGGGGGGAGAGAAGATAACACACTGTTCAGTATATTCTAAAGTTAATTAACTAGTGAACGTTTTTTCTCTCTAGAGCATCTCTTTATATTCTTAGGAACACATTTTGTAAAACTATATTCTGGACTATCCTTTTCATTTTATAGATGAAGAAAACACAAAAACTATTGTCCTTAATTCTGTAGAGTAGGTAGGTGACAATTTGTGTCCACCTTCTATTGAGATGAAATAAAGTTGTGATTTAAGTAAGAAATGACAATATTCAGAGGGTTTTTTTTTTTTTTAACAGTCTTTTTGGCCCCACCAATCCTAACATAATCTCTCCAACCCCGTCTCCTGGTAAACACCAAATGTGCCAGGGCCAAGGGAAACCCATGCTGCCTCCTGCCCATTGTGAGGCCCTTCGCAATGAGGGCAAAGAGCTGAATTTTGTAGCTGAGACTCTCTAAACCCCACTCATCTCCAGGGCTTTGTAAACAGGAGCCTGGTGAGAGGCAGCAGAGGGGGAATCAATCCTGAATATCCTGAACAACAAAGTCATGAACCAGAAGTCCTCTCCCAAACTAGGGCATAATTCTCCTTCCTGTCCACATGCTGTACTATGGTATATAGATCTGCAAAAAAACTCATCTTACCAAAATTAGAGTTAATTTAAAAATGGCTTCAATGGGGGAATAAAGTGACAAAGGCTAGAACTTTATGGTAAGTGTATAGTTTTTACTTAATACTAAAAGAATAAATGATCAAAACTGACAAAGAGGGGGCTTCCCTGGTGGCGCAGTGGTTGAGAGTCCGCCTGCCGATGCAGGGGACACAGGTTCGTGCCCCGGTCTGGGAGGATCCCACATGCCACGGAGCAGCTGGCCCGTGAGCCATGGCCGCTGAGCCTGCGCGTCCAGAGCCTGTGCTCTGCAACGGGAGAGGCCACAGCAGTGAGAGGCCCGTGTACCGCAAAAAAACCCAAAAAAACAACAACAACAAAATAAACTGACAAAGACTCCAACATCATTGAACAAATATTATATATACAGCCACACAGTCTGGAGCAAGTCTAAACTATTGTCATCAGCATGCTTTTAGAGTAAATATAACCCTAAAATTAAATACGGTGGTCTTTTAAAAATACAAAATCAGAATAAATTACAGCACAGTTTATAATTGTCAATAGTAGGTAAAAGAACTGAGGTCAACAGTACAGTTCTGTGTTCTTGTACTGCACATTACAGCCTTTCCTCAATGTAATACAGTGTTAAGTCCAAATCATTATTACAGATAATAGCAGTCCATGTAACACAAAGTATGTGCCCTAGTTATTCAGTCATTTATAGGTAGGAAAACTTGTGCGATGTGAGAAATATTTGTATTAAAAGAAGATGTCTGTATTTGACTGTGAAAACTTTTTTCCTTTTTCATACTGTGGGATACTACATTGGGATTGAGAATGACAGTGAATGGGAATAAACATCTGAAAATATTAGGTTAATATTTAATATGGTGTCAGTTAATAGTGATTTTTAAGTAATTTTATAATCATGTTGGTTGGGGATCCAGAGCTCGTATTTATTGGGACTGTAGCATTAACATTTATTTTTCCAAGTAATTCATAGCATCTTTACTCATTCAAAGCTGATCCCATTAAGTGAATCAACAAAGGATACTTTATTATTGGACAAAATGTATGAACATTAACAAGTTAGTCCTTTCAAGGGTAATAATGTGTTTTAACTGTTGTTTCTGAAACAGAAGAATAACTTATGTGGGAGCATCTGTGAGAATGCTTGTTGATTAACTCATTATTCTTACCTTTCAGTTTTTAATGATGGCAGTTCCAGGGAACTAATGAACCTCACTGGAACGATTCCTGTGCCTTATAGAGGTAAATGTCTTATGTGATTCATGTTTCCAGCATAGATGCATTTTAATTCACATTTAGTTGCCAAAGAATTGTAGGTAATTAAGCTTGCTTTTTTGTGACTTTCATGATAATACAGAAACTTCACCTCCTATTCTAATTGAACTTCATTTGGCAGCAGCACCTCATATTTTCAGCTTTTTTCCCCTACTTCCTTACCAAGATATATCAACAAATAAGTGCCTCAGTGCACTGGAAGAGTTTGTTTAATAGAATCAGAGAATCTTAGAACTAGAAAGGGATCTTAGCTGCCTCCTAGTTCAGCTCCCACCCTACTCAAACTTATCTGACAATGGGAAGTATAGTGACTAAGATAGAGGCTTTACAGTCAGGGCAGAGTGGGGTTTTAGTTCTCCCTCTGTAATCTATTAGTTTTGTGACAATGGGCATCTGTAACATTTGGATAATAGTACCTAACTCAAAGAAGAATTCATTTGTAATAATGTATGTAAAGGACTTAGCACAGAGGCTGGTATATCAAAAGTAGCTATTATTTATGGTTGTAATGCTGATGATGGATAATTACATCTCTGTTAGTCAGCCACCCTCTGCTGGAAGACTTACAATGATAATGGAGCATTCAGCTTCATGAGCAACTGTGGACAGCTCTGTTTGTTAGTTATTCCTTGTGACTAGCTAAGACCTGTATCTCAGTAACCTACCCATTGATTTTATATAGTACCTGCTATGCGTGGGGGAAAAGGGCTAGGGATACAAAGGTGAATAAAGGATGTACCTTCTCTGGAAGAACATACACAAATAGGGGAAACAAGGAATAAATAGATATTTACACTATTCTATACCTGTTGTAGAATAATGAAATATAAAGGTGCTGTGAGATTATAGAGGAGAACAAGAACACGTGGAAAGGTCATCAAAGAAATAACTTTCAATTTGGTGTTAAAGGATGAGTGAACCATTCATAACAGAATGGACATCCCAGGCAGAGGGAAAAAACACTTGCGCATCAGCATTTTATAGAGCAAATACAAGTAAACTTCAGGATTATTGACTTTGCCTTTACCCCAGGAAGTAAGCTCTGGTGAGGGAAAAAGTTATGTGGGGGAGAGAAGGAGGCAGAAGACTATTGTAGACATAATTAAAGACATTTATTATTTTTTTCTTCTGGTTTTATTGAGATGTAATTGACATATAGCACTATATAAGTTTAAGATATACAGTGTAATGATTGACTTCATACATCAAGTAATGATTACCTCAGTAAGCTTAGTGAACATCTGTCATATAGATACAAAATTAGAGAAACAGAAAAAAATATTTTTCCCTTGTGATGAAATTCTTAAGTTTTCATCAAGTTGCGATGTTTACTCTCTTAACAACTTTCATATATAACATACAGCAGTGTTCATGACATTTATCATGTTGTACATTACATTCCCAGTACTTACCTTTTTTTTTTTTTAGCTGCGTTGGGTCTTCGTTGCTGCTCGCGGGCTTTCTCTAGTTGCGGCGAGCAGGGGCTACTCTTCGTTGCGGTGCGTGGGCTTCTCATTGCAGTGGTTTGTCTTGTAGCGGAGCATGGGCTCTAGGTGCACAGGCTTCAGTAGTTGTGGCACCTGGGCTCAGTAGTTGTGGCACATGGGCTTAGTTGCTCCATGGCATGTGGAATCTTCCCGGACCAGGGTACAAACCTGTGTCCCCTGCATTGGCAGGCGGATTCTTAATCACTGCACCACCAGGGAAGTCCCCTTGCTTTTTTATAACTGGAAGTTTGTACCTTATGTGTACTGTCCTACAATTCTCCCTTCCCCCCCAGCCCTCACCTCTGATAACCACAAATTTGATCTCTTTTTCTGTTTGTTTATCTGTGTGTGTTTGAAGTATAATTGACCTATAACACTGTGTTAGTTTCTGTTACACAGTATAGTGATTTGATATTTCTGTACCTTTCAAAATGATCAACATGATAAGTCTAGTTACCATCTGTCACCATACAAAACATTACATAATTATTGACAGTATTCCCCACACTGTACATATCATACTGTGATTCATTTATTTTACAGCTGGAAGTTTGTACCTCTTAATCTTCCTCACCTGTTTCTCTTCTCCCACCTTCTTCCCCTCTGGCAACCACCTCTTTTTTGTATTTATGAGCCTGTTTCTGTTTAGTTTTGTTTGTTCATTTGTTTTGTTTTTTAGATTCCACATATAAGTGAGATCATACAGTATTTGTCTTTCTCTGTCTGACTTATTTCACCTAGCATAATACCCTCTAGGTCTATCCATGTTGTCACAAATGGCAAGATATCATTCTTTTTTATGGCTCAGTAATATTCCATTATGTATATGTATACCACATTTTGTTTATCCGTTCATCTATCAGTGGGTACTTAGGTTGCTTCCATATCTTGGCTATTGTAAATAATGTTGCACTGAACATAGGAGTGCATATATCTTTTCAAATTAGTGTTTTCATTTTCTTCAGATAAATAACCAGAAGTAGAATTGCTGGATCACATGGTAGTTCTATTTTTAATTTTTAAGTAATCTCCATACTGTTTTCCATAGTGGCTGCACCAATTTATATTCCCACCAGCAGTGCACAAGGGTTCTCTTTTTCATACACACACAAACACACACACACACACGCATACATATATGTAAATTTTATTTAAACTAAACCTTTGTTCCTTCACCATTTTTTTGTACGGCACAGTTCCTAAGCCTAAGTAATTCTAGAGAATCCATCATTTTCAGAAAGCAAAGAATTCTAGATGGTGGAAATAAAGTTATGTTTTATATATTAGGATATATTTTATAGGAGTCTTTTTTTTTCATTCTAGAAGTACTTTTGGGTAAAAAATAAATCCAAAGTCCCATAACTGTCTGATTTCTTTAAGTGAATTTTATGTGTATATACTTTTATGAAGTAAAACTGTTTCTGAGTGGGGGAAATGTATCTGAATTATGTTAGGTGATTCAAATGGTTGCTTGGGACACTGGGCTTTAACCTTAGGAAGAAAAGTCTTTGATTTATGTTCAGTATATTAACTATCAGATCCTTTGAAACACTGTTCATTTTGACTATATATAGTCAAATTTCCCAACTGAGAGAGATTCTATTACATAAAGCAAAAAAAGGGGGTTGACATTGATTGTGAAACTACCACTGAAAATGCCATATTCATTGGTCAAGCTGTGGCCACCAGTCAGCATTTGTTTGACACTTGGATTAGGTCTTACAGCGTGACTTCTGGCAAGGGAATTTCAAGTCTAGCATATCACTTTCCGAAAGGACACCGTTATCTATGGTCTTCCTTCTGTATCCTTTACCAGTGAACTTTATTAACTGAAGTGACAAGAGTCAAATAACAAAGAATGGCTTGAACCAAAAGATAATTTGTGAATAACGTTTTTATGGCAGTAAGTACACTTACTACACTGGCAGAGTAGTGATTAATTAGCTCCTTAATCCTGCTCATGTATTTTACAAACTGAAAATTTGAGAAACTGATGTTAAACAGAACTTTGAAACATAAAATATTTGTTGTGTTTTTTAAAAAAAGTGTTGCTTAGTTGTAGCTCTTTGTTGCTTACCTACTAAGCCATTATTGAAAAATAATAAAAGTAAAGTAACTGAAGTTTCTCTTTCTCTCTCAGGTACTACATATAATATTCCAATATGCCTGTGGCTGCTGGACACATACCCATATAATCCCCCTATCTGTTTTGTTAAGCCTACTAGTTCAATGACTATTAAAACAGGAAAGCATGTGGATGCTAACGGGAAGATATATCTTCCTTATCTACATGAATGGAAACATGTAAGTATTAACAGAGTGTTCTGAGAATTCGTTGTATTTTATATATTTTGTTCACTAGCATTTACTTTCTGTTACCTCTCAAGGAGGATTAAAGGAGAATAAATTCACATAAGATCACTAATCACTGAGCTGGGTAATTCAAAAAAGCTCTTCAAAAGAAATATATCTGGACTTCCCTGGTAGTGCAGTGGTTAAGAATCCTCCTGCCAATGCAGGGGAGATGGGTTCAAGCCCTGGTCCAGGAAGATCCCACATGCCACATGGGGCAACTAAGCCCACATGCCACAACTACTGAGCCTGCACTCTAGAGCCCATGAGCCACAACTACTGAGCCCACATGCCACAACTACTGAAGCCCGTGCTCCTAGAGCCCGTGCTCTGCATCAAGAGAAGCCACTGCAATGAGAAGCCCATGCACTGCAACGAAGAGTAGCTCCTGCTTGCCACAACTAGAGAAAGCCCCCGTGCCACAGCGAAGACCCAACGCAGCCAAAAATAAATAATAAGTAAATAAATTTACAAGAATAAATAAATAAATGAAACATATTTCTATAGAGCTTGGTAGTTTATAGAATACACATAGTCACTATTTTATTTGCTTGAGTTGAACCTTTAAGAATAGATAGAATTCACATATGGGAAATGCATTTAAAAAATATTGGGGGGCCTTCCCTGGTGGCGCAGTGGTTAAGAATCCACCTGCCAATGCAGGGGACATGGGTTTGAGCCCTGGTCCAGGAAGGTCCCACATGCTGCGGAGCAGCTAAGCCCGTGCGCCACAACTACTGAGCCTGCACTCTAGAGCCCACGAGCCACAACTGCTGAGCCCGTGAGCCACAACTACTGAAGCCTGTGTGCCTAGAGCCCCTGCTGCACAGCAAGAGAAGCCAGTGCAATGAGAAGTCCACACACTGCAACAAAGAGTAGCCCCCACTTGCTGCAACTAGAAAAAGCCAGCGCGCAGCAAAAAAGACCCAACGCAGCCATAAGTAGATAGATAAATTTATTTATTTAAAAAAACATGTATATTAGGTTGGCCAAAAGATTCAGTTGTTTTTTTCCGTAAGATGACTTTAGTAGCACTTAGTTGTCTTTAACTTCATTTGAAACAATTTTGTTAGATTGTATGTGATAGCTGTCCTATCACCGTGCATTTAAAAAAAGACATCGGGCTTCCCTGGTGACCCAGTGGTTGAGAGTCCGCCTGCCGATGCAGGGGACACGGGTTCGTGCCCTGGTCCGGGAAGATCCCACATGCCGCAGAGCGGCTAGGCCTGTGAGCCATGGCCGCTGAGCCTGTGCATCCGGAGCCTGTGCTCTGCAACGGGAGAGGCCACAACAGTAAGAGGCCCGCGTACTGCAAAAAAAAAAAAAAGAAAGAAAGAAAAGACATCAAAATTGGTGAATTTTTGTGTAGCCATTCATTTTAATATTGAAGATGGAAGAAAAACAACATTTTTGGCATCTTATGCTTTATTATTTCATGAAAGGTAAAAATGCAACTGAAACGCACAAAAAGATTTGTGCAGTGTATGGAGAAGGTGCTGTGATGATCAGATGTCAAAAGTGGTTTGTGAAGTTTCATGCTGTAGATTTCTTGCTGGATGATGCTGCATGTCGGGTAGACCAGTTGAAGTTGATAGCAATCAAATCAAGACGTTAATTGAGAACAGTCAACATTATATGACGCGGAGATAGCTAACATACTCAAAATATCCAAATCAAGCACTGAAAATCATTTGCACCAGCTTGGTTATGTGAATCGCTTTGATGTTTGGTTTCCACGTAAGTTAAGCAAAAAAAACCCTTCCTGACCATATTTCCCCGTGCGATTCTCTACTTAAACGTAATGAAAACGTTCCGTTTTTAAAATAAATTGTGATAGGAGGTGAAAAGTGGATACTGTACAATAATGTGGAACGGAAGAGATCGTAGGCAAGCGAAATGAACCACCACCAACCACACCAAAGGCCGGTCTTCATCCAAAGAAGGTGATGTTGTGTATATGGTGGGATTGGAAGGGAATCCTCTATTATGAGTTCCTTCTGGAAAACCAAACGATTCATTCCAACAAGTACTGCTCCCAGTTAGACCAACTGAAAGCAGCACTCAACAAAAAGCGTCCAGAATTAGTCAACAGGAAATGCAGAATCTTCCATCAGGATAACGCAAGATGGCATGTTTTTTTGAAGACCAGGCAAAAACTGTTACAGCTTGTCTGGGAAGTTCTGATTCATCCGCCATATTTACCAGACATTGCACCTTCAGTTTTCCATTGATTTCAGTCTTTACAAAATTCTCTTAATGGAAAAAATTTCAATTCCCTGGAAGACTGTAAAAGGCACCTGGAACAGTTCTTTGCTCAAAAAGATAAAACGTTTTGGGAATATGGAATTATGAAGTTGCCTGAAAAATGGCAGAAGGTAGTGGAACAAAAGGATGACAACGTTGTTCAATAAAGTTCTTGGTGAAAATGAAAAATGTGCCTTTTATTTTTACTTAAAAACAGAAGATACTGGTGGCATATATTTGTGAAACTGTTCAAATCTCATTACTCAAAGTGTTCCTATCAAGAAGTAATACTAGTAAGAAACTTCTGTTTCTGCCTCTGATAGTATAGCTCTGGCAGTTTCTATCCAAAAAAATGCTAGAAAAGCCAAAGTACAAACAACATCTGAGGAAGGCTTTGGAGAACTGTTGAGGCAATTAGGACTTGAAGGGCCAAGATCCTTGCTGCAAAGAGATGAGTGCATTCTGCCAGTTTTCCCTAAGAGTATTTACCGATTCTTGGTACAGAGTGAGAGGCTGAGAATCTGGGCAGAGGGCATTAGCTAGAGGCAAAGAAGACTGCACAGATTCTAACAGTCTCACAGGGCTGAAAAGAACAGTTGCTGTTCTGTCTGCCAGGCAGCCAGTATCTTAGGAGCCAAGATTTGGGAGAAAAGGAAGCTACAAAGAAGTGAGCCAGATAATTTGAGTTCCCCCTCAAGGGATATGCTGAATTCCTACATTTCAAAGACAAGATGCTAAAAAGCTAAGCAGAAAGCCTCATAGCCAAGTTCTCAGCAGTCTTAGGTTGAGGAGGCAGTTTGAGTTTCGAACCACTCACAAGGAGGAGGGGTATGAGTAAACATCCTAGGCTCTCAGTTGGCACCACTGGAGGAATACACCCCATGAGTGAGAACTCAGGCAGAATGAGCCCTATAAAACTCCACCCTTGAATCAGTTCAGTGCCTGATTATATTAAGGTTATTCTCACGGTATCTGCCGGCCATAGGATAGAATGAACTGTTGCTGGAAGGAGATAATATATAGAGCCTGTCTAATTTTTCACGAAGTGTCCGGTGTACCATTTAAAATTATCAAGTACATCAAGAGATAGGACAAAGAGGGAAAAAAGAGTAGAAACAGGATACCACCCCCCAGGTAACCCAGTTATCAGACAGACTTGAAAATGATTGTGATTAGTATGTTCAATATGGAGAATTAATTATAATATAATTATATTTAAAATGAACCAAATAGAAACCTTACAACTGAAAAATAGAATAATAGAAATTAAAAACCCAGTAGAGGGACTTCCCTGGTGGCACAGTGGTTAAGAATCCGCCTGCCAGTACAGGGGACACAGGTTCATGCCCTGGTCTGGGAAGATCCAACATGCCATGGAGCAACTAAGCCCGTGTGCCACAACTACTGAGCCTGCGCTCTAGAGCCTGCAAGCCACAACTACTGAGCCCACGTGCTGCAACTACTGAAGCCCACACACCTAGAACCCGTGCTCCGCAACAAGAGAAGCCACTGCAATGAAAAGCCCACGCACCGCAACGAAGAGTAGCCCCCACTCTCCACGACTAGAGAAACCCGCGCGCAGCAACGAAGACCCAACGCAGCCAAAATAAATAGATTAAAAAAACCACGAAAACTCAGTAGATGGGTTTAATAGCAGATTAGACTCAGCAGAATAGAGAATAAATGAACTGGTTTACGAATACTTTATATTTTTAATGCTGTTGACGTAGGAATAAACCTTACAAAAGATGTACAAATCCATTATGGAGAAAATTCCAATTTTTTTTTTTTTTTTTGCGTTACGCGGGCCTCTCACTTTGTGGCCTCTCCCATTGCGGAGCACAGGCTCCGGACGCGCAGGCTTAGCGGCCATGGCTCACGGGCCCAGCCGCTCCGCGGCATGTGGGATCTTCCCGGACCGGGGCACGAACCCGCGTCCCCTGCATCGGCAGGCGGACTCTCAACCAGTGCGCCACCAGGGAAGCCCAAAATTCCAAATTTTATTGAAAGATATTAGAGAAGACTTAAATCAAAAAAAGAGAACCTTGTTCATGGATTGGAAGACTCAGTATTATAAATATGTCGGTTCTCTACAAATTGATCTATTTCTTTTTTTAAAGAAGACGTTGGGGGTAGGAGTTTATTAATTTATTTTTGCTGTGTTGGGTCTTCATTTCTGTGCGAGGGCTTTCTGTAGTTGTGGCAGGCGGGGGCCACTCTTCATCGCGGTGTGCGGGCCTCTCACTATTGTGGCCTCTCTTGTCGCGGAGCACAGGCTCCAGACGCGCAGGCTCAGTAGTTGTGGCTCATGGGCCTAGTTGCTCTGCGGCATGTGGGATCCTCCCAGACCAGGGCTCAAATCCGTGTCCCCTGCATTAGCAGGCAGATTCTCAACCACTGCACCACCAGGGAAGCCCTGATCTATTTCTTAACAGAAGTGTTTGTTTCTTTGCATATTTGTTAATTTTGTGAACTTGATAAGCTGAATCCAAAGTTTATATGGAAATGCAAATATTAATAATAACCAAGAAGAATAAGCTGGAAGGGACTTGCCCTAGAGGTATCAAAATGCATTTTAAAAAACTAGTAATTAAGATGGTATGGAATCGTCAGAGAAATATTCAAATGGATAGATGGAACATAATAAATAACCCAGAAAAAAGATCCACTGTACAGACATACCTTGGAGATACTGTGGACTCAATTCC